TGGGGTCTGCACAGTTCTTCCTGCATGCCCATGGGGGGTGTTACTCACATATGCTAAGATAATCAGAAGGTTTTACTCAAGAATGAACTGATTAGAATATAGAATTATCTTTAGAAACAATTTATATAGCTGTCATATGTAGCTATCAATGTTTGGGATAAACCACTTTGTTAAATAGAGCAATGACAGGTTTAATGAACATCCAACATAAAATCTCTGACTTGTGAGCAGCTGAATACCCTACCCCTGCTTAAAATCACTTCACTACTTGTCTTGCAGACAGTGATTTTCCTTCTCTCTCCTTTCTTTCTGTTTTGTTCCCTGCTATGTGGTTAGCCATCTCTGGAGCTGGTTGCTGGTACAGCCATGATCTCCTAGGAATGGCAGAGTAGAGAGCAGGGCCTTACCTCAGGCAGAGAGTTGCTGAATAGACCTCTCTATTCCCATAGTATCCTCCTATATCCTCCTCCCCAACACATAATTTTGGAGATGGGTGAGTATCCCTGGATTGAAGTCAGCCCCAGGTTCTTGTATCCAGAGAATTCTAGATACAAGAGAATATGAAATAAAGGAAAGTTAGAGAGAGACAGAGAGAGAGAGAGAGAGAGAGAGAGAGAGAGAGAGAGAGGAAACGAGATCAACCTAGAATTCATGAAAGAATAAAATTAATTTTTCTTTAAATGTTGGCAAAAGTGGGTGGTTTCAATTTCATTTAAAAGTGAAAAAATAAACAGGTTCAGTGCAGGTGAGTATAATAATATAATGGGAATTTACCCAGGTGAAGAAAAAGGAAAGGCTTAACTCCCAAAATGAAAGGGGTAAAAATAGAATCCGTGTTTTCCATTTAAAAATAAGCCCAAAGAGCCAGGCATAGTGGCTCATGCCTGTAATCCCAGCACTTTGGGAGGCTGAGGTGGGCGGATCATGAGATCAGGAGATCGAGAGCATCCTGGCTAACACAGTGAAACCTCATCTCTACTAAAAAAAGAAAAAAAAAATTAGCTGGGCATGGTGGCATGTGCCTGTAATCCCAGCTACTCGGGAGGCTTAGGCAGGAGAATTGCTTGAACCCAGGAGGCAGAGGTTGCAGTGAGCCGAGATTGCACCACTGCGCTCCAGCCTGGGTGACAGAACGAGACTCCATCTCAAAATAAAACAAAACGAAACAAAACAAAGCCCAAAGTTCCCACAAGTCCCTGTCAGATTCTCCCTTTAAACAAGCCTTTATCCATATCCCTAAAATATTCTACCCACACCTGCCTGTCCTGAGGTTCAAGAATCTAAGGCAAAATTTTTAAACTATCTTATTAATATTTTAGATTTTAAAAAGTGCCTTTTCATGTCTTTTGCTCACTTTTTAATGGGATTGTTTGTTTTTCTCTTGTAAATGTGTTTAAGTTCCTTAAATACGACTGCGTGTTTTCACTTATAAATGGGAGCTAAATGATAAGAACTCATGAACACAGAAGGAAACAGCAGACACTGGGGTCTACTTGAGGGTGGAGGGTGGGAGGAGGGAGAGAGGCAGAAAAGATCACTATTGGGTACTGAGCTTAATACCTAGGTGAAGTAATAATATGTACAACAAACCCCCATGACATGTGTTTATCTATGTAACCTTTGCATGTACCCCCAAACTTAAAATAAAAATTTAAAAAGTGATTTTATATTTATTTTTTCTTTTAATTCCTGTAATAACTGGAAAATACGTGTGTGTGTGTGTGTGTGTGTGTGTCTGTGTGTGTGTGTGTGTATATATATATATACATATATTTGAGGCATAGTCTCAATCTGTTGCCCAGGCTGGAGTGCAGTGGCACAATCTCAGATCACTGCGACCTCCACCTCCTGGGTTCAAGTAATTCTCACACCTCAGCCTCCGCAGTAGTGGGGACCACAGGCCTGTGCCATCACACCCAGATAATTTTGTTGTATTTTTAATAGAGACAGGTTTTAACTATGTTGGTCAGGCTGGCCTTGAACTTCGGGCCTCAAGTGATCCTCCCATTTCAGCCTCTCAAAGTGATGGGATTATAGGTGTGAGCCACCATGCCCAGCTGGAAAATACATACACTTAACATAAAATAAAATATACATTATGTAGATAATAGAAGGTAGGATAAACATTACCATTTAGAACTGTCTTTCTGTTTCTCTGTCTGTCACTCTTTTTCTCTATACATGTTAACTTTATTCTTTTCAATGTTTCTCCACCAGCAGGGCCCTTGGCAACCGGCTGCTATTAAATGGCATCCTCAAAGTTTCTTTCACTCTGTATTAGTTTGAAAATCCTAGGGCAGGACTTCTTTGGCCCTGCTTACATCAAATGTTCATGCTAATCTTTTTTCCTTTCCTTTTTTAAAGAGGTGAGGTCTCGCTCTGTCACCCACGCTGGAGTACAGTAGTACCATCATGGCTCACTGGAGGCTCAACTTCCTGGGCTCAAGCGATCCTCCCCACTCAGCCTCCTGAGTAACTGCAACCGTAGGCATGTCCCACCATGACTAAATAATTTTTAATTTTTTTGTAGCGATGGGGGTCTCACTATGTTGCCCAGGCTGTTCTGGAACTCCTGGCCTCAAGCAATCCTCCATCCTTGGCCTCCCACATTGTTAGGATTACAGGCATGAACTACCATGTCTGGCCCTAATCATACATCTAATCACTACTAATCATTTTGTGTTGGAAAAGCAGGGCCATGTAAGAAAATAAGAGTTCTCATTTGGAACCAATGTATAAAATAATAGGAGGGAGTGTAGTTTCTTAGATGAAGGAAGAGAGTAACAGACATGGCCTGCTGGGGGAATTATGAGTTGAACCACAATCCCAATTTATGTATATTGATAATCATTGTTTATCGATTTAATTTTATGCTCTTTTAATTTACTGATTGTGCATATCACACTCATTACTCTTTTATTTACTCTAGTTCTCATTGCCACTTAACATTTTATGTTTTATCACTATCTCAAACTGAATTAAGAAAATCCCCAGTTTTGAGCAACATTTCCCAAAAAGTCTGTCTTATACCCTGGTGAAAGTAACTTTTTTCTTTTATTTTAAAATATACTTTATTTTTTAGAGCAGTTTTAAATTCATAACAAAATTGAACAGGAAGTACAGAGAGTTCCCATAAACTCCTTGCCCCACAATATCTTATTAATTCTTATTTTATAGTTTTGTTTAATTACTAATATTGTAACATGTCTGAAATATAATTGCAGTTGGGACATTTTTCATATATTTTGCTCTATTATGCTTTATCTGCCATCTTGAGGCTGATGACTCCTGATTCTGCACTCCTAGCCTAGACTTCTTTCCCTTCTTACTTATACAAACAGCTGTCTGAAGGACATCATCTGGATGTCCTGCTGACCCTTCCAACCTAATATGTATATGAATGGGGATCACAATCTTGTGTCCCTCCTTAAAACCTGTTTATTTTGTGTTTCCCTATCTCAGTGAAGGTTGTAACATTCAATCAATTAATCAAGCCCCAAATCTGAAGTTCGATCCTCCTAGTCCCTCCTTTCTCAGTGAGTACATCAGGTGGTTTTGACTTGCTGATTGTACCTCCTAAATTCTACCCTTATTCCTGCTACCGTTGCTTTAGTTCAGAAATGCATCATTCCTGGCTTGGATTACTGTACCAGCCTTCTAGCTCATCTGTCTGCTTCTACTCTTGTTCAAATCCAGTTCTTCCAAAGCCAAAGTGATCCTTCTAAAATGCAAATCTGACCATGTTGCTTGCTGCTCAAAACCTCTTAGAGACTCCCCTAACCTCCGGGAAAAAAACCCATGATCCCTTCTGATGTGGTTCTGGCCCATTTTCCCAACACCATCTCCCATTGTCCCCCGACAGCATTTCATCTAGCTCTCTTAACTAGGGCCTTTTCAGGAGGTGGGGTAGTTTAGTGATTAAGAGCACAGACTTAGGGGCAAATCAAGGCTTTGCCAGCTGGGGTAAAGTATACTTAAACTTTGAGTCTCACTGTCTTTGTTTGTAAAAGTGAGTAACCTAACTCCTTCATAGCATTATTATAAAGAGAATCTATGATAATATTGGCAAAATCCTTTGGACAGAGTAGGCATTTAGTACATGGTGATTTATTATTAAAATTGGGCTATGCTACTCCATTCTCCACTTATTTTGCAAGGTGCCCTCCTTTGCCTTTTGAATTCTTTAGTATAGCAATTATTTTTGACTGCCTACTATGTGCCAGTAAGTTCTAGAAGTTGGGGAAACATTGGTGAACTGGAATGGCGTTCTGATCCAATTAATTCCTTGTTATGCTTCGAGACCTTTTTGGCCTTTCTATGTCTCGGAGAGTTTGTACTACCATTTCCCCTTGTATATTATTCTAATTCCTTTGATTACTTATCAACTTACCATGTTAAAGAGTTGCTGATTACTAATGGACTCTGCAGTTGAACTGTTGAGTAGAGATTGTATTTTGTTAATTTGTGAACATTTAATGCCTAACAGAGCATGATAATCATTCATTTAAATACATGAAGTAGACACATAGATGTTCGGTAAATATTTCTTAGATTAAAATAAAAGCATAATTCCATAATAAAAGTGTTCTTTTATTGTTTAATGTAAATACACAGCCAAAACCCCTTTGGCTTTTAGGGTTATCCTAGGAACCTGCCGCCTAATTGTTTGTTTTTATAGGAAATCAGTGCCATTTGAGTTCAAATAACTAACTTTAAAATAAAGATCTAGAGTCTATCTCTTCATAACGTGGGATCTACATGTCTAGTGTGAGAAAATTCAATACCAGAAGTGTTGCAAAGATCTGACTTGAAGCCTTACATTATTTGTCTTACTATTTCCATGTTTTTAGATTTTATCAATATCCATTTGTAAAGTGTTGGGCTTTTACTGGCTTTTATGAATTTAAACTTTGTTTTTTTCAATTACATATTTTCTGATATGTGCTCAGTTGAGTGTGTGTTGACAATTTTTTTCTCTCTTTTGTTCTTTCTTTCTACAGGCTTCCTTCCCTGGGAACTTGCATTTGGTTTTGGTTTTACGTCCTACCAGCTTTCTTCAAAGAACTTTCACAGACATTGGATTTCGGTTTAGTCAGGAGGATTTCATGCTTAAATTACCAGTAAGGGTATATTATTTAAATGTTTTGCTCCTCTAATTCTCATAAAGACTCGCACCATGCTGTTTATATTTTACATGTGCCCATGTAGCATTTAATAAAAAAATTTAAATTTGTCTTTTAAAAGTATACATTTGAAATGCCCAAAAGTCTTTCACTTGCCATTTAAAAAAGAAATAGATTCATCGACTTATAACAAAACAATTACTTTTGCAAAAAAAGTCATATATGTTATATATATGTATATATATGTATGTGTGCATGTGTGTATATGTATGTGTGTGTACGTGTATAAATGGGAAATTTTATTTTTAGTAAAATTGAATGTATGTTTTATGTATTTGAACTCCCATGAACTTACATCCTGAGCTAGTATAGAGTACCATGACTTTAAAAATATATTTTTATATGTTTTTAAGGTTAAGAATAGGGTGCTCATAAATCTGGATACTTTTGAAAAGGTCAGTCCCTCCTGCTAAATTATAACTTACTACATAAAGTCCTTTTCTTTGTTGTGAGCATAGCATTCTTTTAGAAGCTAGACCATTAACTGCAAACTTTTAGATAGAGGAAAATTAGGTGTTTTTGTTTCTGTGGAGAATGATTTCATTTTACAGAAAATGTTTTGTAAAAAAAAAAAACTGTTATTATCTGAGGAAGATAGTGCATACATGTGTGGGGGCATGTACAGGAGAGAACTGGTAAAACCATTTATCAGAGGTAACTTTCTGCTAAATGTTTGCTAAAGTTCATTTTACAGTTTAATGGAGGGATGGCATGAAGGGCAGTTAACAGTATCTTTCTTGCTTATTTATATAGGTTGTTATGCTGAGCTCAGTTAGTGATTTGCTGACATACATTGATGACAAGCAATTAACCCCTGAGTTAGGCGGCACCTTGCAGTACTGCCACAGTGAATGGATCATCTTCAGAAATGTATGTTGTCTTTGCCCTTACTGTAGAGCCTATAGTTCTTCATGTTAGCCTTTAAATCTACTTCTAGAAAATTTTCCTATTAAAAAAAAAACAGATTTCTGGGTCCCTCACTTTTCAAATACGTATGAATTGAATTCAACATCTTGGTTTTCTTCCGTAGGATATATCTAGAAATAATGAGCAGTCACTGAGGATGGCAATTTAAGGAGAATACTAGGAAATAAGGAGATCATACTCTGCTCAACCCCTCCTGTGACTATGTAGTAACTTGAAGAAACAAAGAGTTTGGATTCAAATCCTGGCCCTGCTGATTTTTAGTTATATGACCTTGGACAATATACATAACCTCTCTGAATCTTAGTTTTCCTAACTGTAAAACAGGACTAATAATAACTTACCTCATAGGGATCTTAAAAAGACTAAAGGATAGCAAATATAAAATGTTTTACATGGTGCCTAGCATATGGCAAACCATCAATAAATGCAAGTAGTATTATTAATCTCATCATCTTAGTGATGCTTCTGATGCACTTAGATTCGTAACAAAGAGTACTTCTGTTTTAGAAATTTACAAATAGACAAGGGCCCTGCAGCTCCCAAGTATGTCTGTGGTAAATAAGTATGTTGACTTCTAATCTCAGAGATAGGGGAACCCTTAGAAAGAGATTAATGATATACCATTAAATTAGTATTCCATTTTTCTCATACTTGTTCTTCACTCAGCATTTCATTCATTAATTCATTTAACAATGTATTCATTCAACAATTCATTCGCGTGAAGATGTATTGCCAAAATTAGCAATGCCTGGACTTTAATAACTTGTAATACTATAAATAAACAACCGAATATTTTGAGATACATGGTAAACAGATTGCCATATGGTATCTACATTTTTCCCTTCTTTCTCAGAGTAATTGGTTTTAAAAACAAAATAAACAACAAAACCTTACTTACCATTTTATGGCAACAAAGGCTTTGGGATTACCATTCCAAATCTTCTATAGTACCTGAAATGAATTGTTTTGAGGACTTTTTCTCCCATTTTCTTCAATCATCACCTTGTTTGGAATGCTAATGCTTAATCACAAATGATAATAAACAAATATAAAGTGACTTTACTGTTCTCATCTCTCTTCAGAAGTAAAGTTATTATAAAGGAATTTTGCCAATTGCAGAGTTTCTAGAATAAGGAAAACACTATAATTTTCAAGAAAATAAAACAAATTACTCAATACATGACATTTTAATAAATAGTTTTCATCAGTGTCCAAGTAATAAGTAAAGAAATTTGGATATTCAGGAAAACTCTTAACCTTCCTTCAGTTTCGTAGAGGCTTAGATGAAGAGTTACAGTTGATTGCCAAGAGCAATGCCGTATTTCTCTAGTGGAGAAGAGTTCATAGTATATGTGTTTGCTGTTATACCCCCAATAAAAACAAATATAATTACCGACCCAGTTTTTGATATGTTTACAGAGTTACCATAGAATTAAAATAATCACTGGCTCTTTGCAGGCTATAGAAAATTTTGCCCTCACAGTGAAAGAAATGGCTCAGATGTTACAGTCCTTTGGAACTGAACTGGCTGAGACAGAACTACCAGATGATATTCCTTCAATAGAAGAAATTCTGGCAATTCGTGCTGAAAGGTATCATCTGTTGAAGGTATGTCTGAAAGAGTTGACAAATGAAAGATTTCCATGGTCTCTCTCTTTCCAGAGAGGTGTTAATTATGTACATTTTACACTGACTGTTGCATAGAGATAAAAGACTTTTATATATTATATTTTAAAACTATAAAAAATACTTTATAAGAGAAGAATGTCCTAGATATGTTAGATCTAAGTGTCCTCTCTGTAAATGGTGCATTATCTTGAGAACTTATTTAAAAATATCTTATAAATGCTCAAGAAAAAGAATTAGATTTTTTGTTTTGTTTTGTTTTACTGTGGACAGTCATGCATTTCATGTTGTTTTGATCAATGATGAACCACATATATGACAGTGGTCCTATAAGATTATACCATATTTTTACTGTACCTTTTCTATGTTTAGGTATGTTTAGATACACAAATGTATACTGTTGTAACTGCATACAGTATATAGTACAGTAACCTGCTGTGCAGTTTTGTACCCTAGGAGCAATAGGCTCTACCCTGTAGCCTAGATGTGTAGTAGGCTATCCATCTAGGTTTGTGTAAATGCACTCTGTGATGTTCACAAAATGATGAAATCACCTAATAATGCGTTTTTCATAACAAATACCCAACATTAAGTGATGCATGGCTGTATTTTTAATTTTTGATGAGGAGTCAGGAGACAGTTTCTTGTTCCATCTTTGCAGTGAACTAGCATTGTGACCAAGGCTAACATTGTTCGATTGATTATAAGTTCTCTTCTCCATAGAATACTAGGTCTTGATGTTTTCTATAGTAGACCAGGGGTTGCAAATTGTGCTCTCCTACCCAGGTCTTTGTGGAGTGTTGCTTTGTGAAGGACTCTGAAGCACAATTCAGATAATCAGCAAATATTTTTTGGATCCACTTCAGAAAGTTTAAGAATAAGCTGAACAACACTTGGCATTCATATAACTCATCTCTTTCATCTGATAATAGACATCCTGTGTGCACTAGAAGATTCAAGCTATATAAAGACATATATGTTTAAATTTAAAAGATAAACTGACTTTTTTTCCAACTTTCATTTTAGGTCCAGAGGGTTCATGTGCAGGTTTGTTACATGGATAAATTATGGGATGCTGAGGTTTGCTGTATAAATGGTTTTGTCACCCAGGTAGTGAGCATAGTACCAGATAGGTAGTTTTTCAATACTTGTCCTCCTCCCACCCTCCTTCCTCTAGTGGTCCCCACTGTCTATTGTTCTCATGTCTTATGTCCATGTGTACCTAATGTTTAGCTCCCACTGTGAGACCATGTAGTATTTGGTTTCCCGTTCCAGCATTAATTTGCTTAGGATAATGGCCTACAGCTGCATCCATGTTGCTGAAAAGTACATGATCTCATTCTTTTTTTACGACTGAATAGTATTCCATGGTGTATATGTACCACATTTTCTTTATACAGTCTACCACTGATGGGCACCTGGGTTGATTCCATGTCTTTGCTATTGTGAATAGTGCTGCAATGGCATATGAGTGCATGTGTCTTTTAGTAGAACAATTTATTTTCCTTTGGATATAAACCCAGTAATGGGTTTGCTGGGTTGAATGTATTCTGTTTTAAGCTCTTTGAGAGATCTCCATACTGTTTTCCACAGTGACTGAACTCATTTACATTCCCCAACAAGTATGTATCAGTGTTCTCTTTTTTCTGTAGCCTCGAAAGCAGCTGTTATTTTTTGTCTTTTTAGTAATAGCCATTCTGATTGGTATGAAGTGGTATCTCATAGTGGTTTGATTTTCAAGAAACTGACTTTTTGAATCACAATCTAAAAACAAAACTCTGTCCAAGGAAAGAAAGCTCTGTTCTTCATATACTGCATGTTGTTGGGCAACTTGCTTACCTTTTCTGAATTGCAGTTTCTGTATCTTTACAATGAGGATGATGATGATGATGCATCATACCTCGTAGGATTGTTGTGAAGATGAAATGAGGCAAAGAGAGTGATGTATGTATAACAATGTTGGGTACATAGTTGGCACTTCATAAACATTGGCTTTTAATGTTGATGTTATTACTCATGTTGGTGATGGTGTCATGGAATCTGTTCTCAGAATAAATGTACAGTTACAGTCAAATTTTGTCTACAATTTCAAGGGACTCTTGGACCACCTGAAAGAAATCTTAAATCACTCTTAGATGTTTCAGAAAGGGCTATATTGTTAGATCACCCACTGAAGTTAAGACCTTCTGAATAGAGGCATATATGTGATGAATTAATTAAATCTAAATGTGAAGTAAAATAAGACTTAAAGCAGGGAGTGATTAGTGACAATTAAGGATTAGTAAGAAAAGCATTTAACTGTATCTGAACACGCATTAAGTATTATTTACAACTATATGCTTTCTACTATGGTGGTTTTTATTGTGCTATTATTGCTTTATTTAAGCTAATTTAAAGTGTTAGCACAACAGTGCCGGGTGCAGTGGTACATATCTGTTGTCCCAGCTACTCGGGCGCCTGAGGCAGCAGGATTGCTTGAACCCAGGAGTTTGGGTCCATCCTGGGCAACATAGCAAGAGCCCATCCCCCAAAAAAGTAAATAAAAATAAATAAAAGTATTAGCAGAATGGAATGGACTAGATTGGAATTTTCTATCAGTTAGAGAAGGAGGCTACAAATAGAGCACATGGTACTTCTTCCCATAGTGATCTTATATTAATTGCAACATCCATCTCTGAGGCAGGGGCTTCTTGGATCCTCACGGCTTTTAGATTTTGTGGCACTGAGATTTTATAATTTTGTGAATTTTTAGAGAGCTATGAAAGCAAAGGCCACTTAGAATTACTGTTTCTATTCTTCATGCCATAGTTGTATGTTCTCTTCTCATCAGATCATTCAGTTTAGGTTACTAATTAGCTGATACTCCTATTGTGTCTTTGGACAGAATGATATTACAGCTGTAACCAAAGAAGGAAAAATTCTGCTAACAAATCTGGAAGTGCCTGACACTGATGGAGCTGTCAGTTCAAGACTAGAATGTCATCAGCAAGTCAGTGGTGACTGGCAAACTATTAATAAGTGAGTACTCTCTTTTTGGTTTAGAGTTACTTATTTTATATTTTTGAAAGGCAATAATACATTTTTGCTGCAATATGTTAAGTGTGAAAGTATTCCTGGACCTCTGAAAATCTGAGAACTTATTTCTAGATTGTCTGACAGAGATGATTTTGCTTGTAGAAGAGATTCTGTGGATATTGATAGTCTCTACAGGTAGAACCAAGTGTCATAGGCTCTGATTTTGTCTATAATTCTTAGTGTGCAGACCACGTTTATCTATATATTTACAAAACAGATAGTTGTTTTTAGGAATAATTTGAGTTTTCTTTGTTAAGGTTGCTGACTCAAGTACATGATATGGAAACAGCTTTTGATGGATTTTGGGAAAAACATCAATTAAAAATGGAGCAGTATCTGCAACTATGGAAGTTTGAGCAGGATTTTCAAGAGGTCAGTTAAAACATTTCTTTGTACACTTCTTTTTCATTATACCGAGGTTCTCACTTCTTAATGATCAGAAATCCTGTCTTGCAAGATGCCCATTTACATCTATGAAGAGAAAAAAAAAAGGAGGCAAATATAAATAAACCTTGGCTTAGACTGAAGAAAACCTCTACTAAAATTTGGAGACTTCTACTTTTTCAGCTTGCTCATTTCCTATGAGAAAGTATCTAACTGCCAATATATATGAAAGGGACAAAGCTACTTTCTACTTTGAGGTTTGTTATTCAAATTTGTCTTAGATCTAAAGGGTGTTCAAGGTTATGAGGTAGCTTTCCAAGAAAATAATACCAACTTTCTTCTTGGTTTTTAAATCCCATCTACCTATGATGACCATATTTAATATGACTTAACAAGCTTTTATTTCTGATCCAGGGGTTTATTTCTATGAAAAGTCTGAGAGAGGCAATTAAATAAGTTTAATAAGTAATTAAAACTATATTCCAACTGAACCCTCCTGGAAAATCCATCATTTATGGTCAATGCATAGATTTAGTTTCTTTTCCTTTTTCAATCATGTTCAACCTTCTCACAGTCTCTTTCATAGTATATACTTCACCAGAGGATCCAAGGAGAACTCACTTATTCTCTCTTGCATGTGCCCAGCTTGTTTTCTGCCCATGAATGGCTTACTGTCTTTGTATTTCACTTGCTCATCAGAGTTAGGTTTGGGAGGAGCACTGTACTCTGGACATAGGGCTCAGTTACCACCAGCATTTTTCTTCCTTTGATTCAAATGTCTTTTGAAACGGTCTCCATGAAACCTCCCCTAAAGAAAGAATAGGACAAGTTACTCTTGGTCCTTCTAGGTATTTGTGTTTCTCCCTCCTCTTCAACTGAATATACAGAAAATAGCACTTTTCCTGAACGTACTCATTATGTTTATACTTACATATTAATTTGTATCCATACCAAATTCTTGTCCTGTGGTTATGTTCTGTTTCCCCAAGTCATTAATTTCTGTCTTTAATCAATATTGTTGTCTTAGATTATAATCTCACTGATACGGTGTATCTCATAGTGACATGTCGACAGGTTGATAAGTCTAGAAACATGACTTTAAAAAAAAACATAGAAACATAAACTTACAGAAAAATTGTAAATATAAGAAAAATAGAAATACTCATATACTTTCTTCCCAGATTAACTTAATAATAATATTTTACTCGATTTGCTTTATTATTTACATTCCCTTGTATGTGTGTGTGTGTGTATATATATATATATATAAAATATATACAGATAATATTTTTTCTGATCTGACACATAATGTATTTTTCTGACCCATTTGAGTGTAAGTTGCATACATGATGGCCTTTTCCCCCTAAATACTTCCATTTTTTTCTAATAGGGATATTCTGTTATGTAACCATAGTACAGATAGCAGATTCAGTATATTTAACAATGCAATACTTTTACATTATCTGCCAATGATATTCCAATTTTGTTAGTTGACTCAGTCAAGTCTTTTAGAGCATTTATTTTTCCTTCAGAACTGGATCCTCTATAGGGTCCAGTCTTGCATTGCCTTGTATCTTTAGTGTTCTTGAATCTAGAACATTTCCACAGCATTCCTTTGTCTTTTATGACTCTACATTTTGAAGAATGTAGTCCCTTTTTTATTTCTGAGATAGTTCTGTCTCCCAGGCTGGAGTACAGTGGCACAATCATAGCTACTGCAGCCTCAGACTCCTGGGTTTAAGCGATTCTCCCACCTCAGCCTCTCAAGTAGCTGGGACTACAGGTATGCACCACCATGCCTGGCTAATTTTTACATTTTTGTAGGGTTGGGGTCTCACTGTGTTGCCCAGGCTGGTCTCCAACTCCTAGGCTCAAACAATCCTACTTCCTAAGCCTCCCAAAGTGCTGGGATTTCAGATATGAGCTATAAGGACTCATGCCCAGCCATAGTCCCTTTTTAAATAAAATTTTCTTCATTTGGAGTTTGTCTGACATCTTCTCATGATTCTACTTAGTATGTATGACCAGCTAGAATACCACATTAGTTAAGTGTCCTTCTTAGGGAATCACATCTGCAGGTGAATGACACCTGCTTCCCTCTTATTGTTGATATGGATTTTGATTGTCTATTCAGGATGCTGTTGAATTTCTCCACTGTAAAATTATTTTATTCCCATTCCAATTAGTAGTAAACATGTGGGGAGAAAATTTAAGGTTATGTAAATATCCTGCTTTTCATCAAAATTTCCCCATAGATTCAGCATCAACTGATGATGCTTGCCTGGACAAATCTTTGCTATGATGGTTGCAAAATCATGATTTTTTTCAACCCCCATGTCCAGTCCACATTTATTAGTACACACTAGGCATTCTACTGAAGCAAGAGCCTGCCCTTCTCTCCATTTATTTCTTTATTTGATTCAAATATATTTACTTAGTGGTTTTAAAAATACTGTCAATTTTTATTTTATATTTAAGGCATATACATGCATGTATGTTACATGGGTATATTGTGTGATGCTGAGGTTTGAGATGTGAATGATGCCATTACTTAGGTAGTGAGAATAATACCCAATAGTTTTTAAGCCCTTATCTTCCTCCTTTTCCCTCTTTTAGCAGTGCCCAGCATTTATTCTTCCTATCTTAATGTCTATGTGTAACCAGTGCTTAACTTCCATTTATAAATGACAACATGTTGTTTCGTTTTCAGTTCCTGTGTTAGTTTGCTTAGGATAATGACCTTCAGCTGCATCATGTTGCTGCAAAAGATATGATTTTGTTCTTTTTTGTGGCTGCATAGTGTTCCATGGAGTATTTGCACCACATTTTCTTTATCCAGTCCATCATTGATGGACACCAAGGTTGATTCCAAGCCTCTGCTATTGTGAATAGTGCTGCAATGAACATACAATTGCATTGTCTTTTTTTATAGAATGATTTATTTTCCTTTGGGTATATACTCAGTAATGGGATTGCTGGGTCAAATGGTAGTTCTATCTTAAGTTCTTTGAGACATATTCAGGATTCTTTCCACAGTGGCTGAACTAATTTACTTACTAACAGTGTATCAGTGTTCCCTTCTCTCCACAACCTCACCAGCATCTATTCCTTTTTGCGCTTTAGTAATAGCCATTCTGACTGGTGTGAGATAGTATCTCATTTGATTTGCATTTCTCTGTTTGAGCATTTTTTTTTTATGTTTGTTTAAGTTCCTTACAGACTCTGGACATTAAAGTTTTATCAGATGCATAGTTTGTGAATATTTTCTCCTATTTTGTAGGTTGTCTGTTTACTCTGTTGATAGTTCCTTTTGTTATGCTAAAGTTCTTTAATTAGGTCTCACATATTAATTTTTGTATTTGCTGAAATTGCTTTTGAGATTTTAGTAATAAATTATTTACCAAAGCCCATGTCCAGAATGGTGTTTCCTAGGTTTTATCCCAAGATTTTTGTAGCTTGAGGTCTTACATTTAAATCTTTAATCCATCCTTAGTTAATTGATATATATGGTGAAAGGTAGGGTTCCAGTTTCACTCCTCTTTATATGACTAGTCAGCTCTCTCAGCACGATTTATTGAATAGGGAGTCCTTTCCTCCTTGATTATTTTTCTTGATTTTGTAAAACGTCAGATGGCTGTTAGTGTGTAGCTTTATTTCTGGGTTCTCTATTCTGTTCCATTGGTCTATGTGTCTGTATTTGTACCAGGACTATGTTGTTTGGGTATAGTTTGATGTCGGGTAATGTGTTATTTCTGCCTTTGTTCTTTTTCCTTATGATTGCTTTTGCTATTTGAGCTATTTTGTAGTTCCATATAATTTTAGAATAGTTTTTCTAATTCGGTGAAAAAGAATGTTGGTAGTTTGATAGGAATAGTATTGAATCCGTAGATTGTTTTGGACAGTATGGCCATTTGTGTGATAGGGATTCTTCAAATCTATAAGCATGGAATGTTTTTTCCATTTGTTTTTGTCATCCATGATTTCTTTCAGCAGTGTTTTATAGGTCTCCTTATAGAGATTTTTCTCCTCCTTGGGCTACATGTATTACTAGACGTTTTTTCTTTTTGTGGCCATTGTAAATGAAATTGCATTTGTGATTTGGCTTTCAGCTTGAACATTATTGGTGTATAGAAATGCTACTGATTTTTTGTACATTGATTTTGTATCCTAAAACTTCCTTGAAGTTGTTTATCAAATTCTAGGAGCCTTTTGGTAGAGTCTTTAGTGTTTTCTAGATATAGAATCATATTGTCAGCAAAGAGAGATGATTTGACTTGTTTTCTAATTCCTAGGGTTTTTTTAAATGGTTTATAATTTATTACTGTTCTTGACTATTTTGGTGTTTCAAACTGCTGCTTTATCCTTGTGACATGCTCCAACATTTAAGTAAATCACCTTCTTACTTTCTGGCATAAAAATATATCCCAAGTTCATCTGTACCTATTCTGCCTCAGCCATGGAATCAGTCATTTCCCTGAGGAGCCCTGGTTTCTTTTTCTGGGAAACAGTATTAAAGATCAAGATCTGGGTGGGAGGTGTGCTTATTATTTCTGGAGGGATTTTGCTTTTAGAATCATTCATCAGAGAGCTGGAGAATGATGACAAAAATAAACTTAGATGAAAATTCTCAGGTAAGATTGTGTTTCAGATATATATATATATATATATATATATATATATATATATAGGCAAACACATGAATGTATATATACCTATACATACCTCACATGTATACATTTATGCAAATATATTTTCTCATATATAAACCTCACATTTATACATTTATGCAAATACATGTCCTCATATATAAACCTACAAATGTACATGGTTATCTTTTATATATCATGAGTACACATTGATATCTATGAAGTTAAATTTTAACAGATTATAGCTATTTCTGTGAATAAAATAACAAAATATATTTTAATATGAGCAATTCCTCCATGTCAATATTTTTGTTTAAAAGCATTTTGTATAAAACTTGATCATAAAGGGACAATTTTTATGTTTTAAAAGCTCTTTGTTTCCTACTTTTAGCTTGTGACTGAAGTTGAATTTCTATTAAACCAACAAGCAGAACTGGCTGATGTAACGGGGACTATAGCTCAAGTAAAACAAAAAATAAAAAAATTGGAAAATTTAGATGAAAATTCTCAGGTAAGATTGTGTTTCAGATGTTTTCTATATTTATACAGCATGATAGATATGCTTTGGTGGGACTAGGTAGTATAAACCCTTTTAATGAATTTCTTTATTTTTCCATAGGTTATTGGTGTATAGGTGGTGTTTGGCTACATGAATAAGTTCTTTAGTGGTGATTTGTGAGATTTTGGTGCACCCATCACCCAAGAAGTATACACTGCACCTTATTTGTAGTCTTTTATTCCTTGCCCTCCTCCCATCTTAACAACATTCTGTATATTAGGCACATTCTGTATATTAGGCATAATCATATTGGTCTATATTCTGTTTTGTTCAATGTGGGCCACTGGTGGCACTACCAATGTGTCACGTAGCTGTTAAAGGAGGTCTCTGAGACAATAGCATGAACTATTTCAAGCCCACCAATAGCAGCAAGGACATAAATTATTTTGGAGAAGCTAGAAAAATGTGTATTCAGAATAATATATGGTGCTTGGAAATGATGGAAACATATAAGGGCATAATTTCTTAAATGCCCACTTTATGATATATGCAGTTTAACCAAATAGAGACTCACATAGACAGATCTACTTATTTTTACTAACTGTGACCTTGAGTAAATTGATTTCTAATCTTCCGTGTCCTCATCCATATGTTGGAGATAAAATGACCTACTTTGCAGGACAATTGTGAATATTCATTTAGATGTATATAAAGCACCCGGCACACCACTGGGCTATGTAGTAAGTACTCAACAGAGGCAGTTTTTATTATTTCTGCTAGTCTTAAAGTTTGTACTAATGGCTTTAATACTTTAAAAACCCTAGGTTTTATGTGAGAGTAAGGCCGTGCTTTTTACGTGAGAGCAAGGCCATGTTTTTTAGGATGAATTCTCAGCATACAAACAGATTTATGGGTGAACCATGAGTATGTGAAAACGAATATTGAAGAAGCAGCGGTTATGATAACTAGTTCTGGAATTATGCTTGTAGATCTCTGTGATCATGGGACAGGTTGCATAACCCTATGGTATAGTAGAAAGAGGAGGCAAACTGGTTTGGAAACTAAGGGGGACTTAATTTTTTTCCATTTAATAACTTTTCATTTCTAATTATGATAAAAATGCATAATATGAAATTTGCTATCTCAATCATCTTTAAGGGTTTTAGTTCAGTAGTGATAACTAAATTCCCATTGTTGTACAATAGCTCCAGAACTTTTCTATCTTATAAAATTGAAAGTCTATCTCCATTAGATAACAGCTCTCCATTTTAAACCTGGTTTTCCCACAAGGTAGAGAGGCCAGTCACTTCCTTATTCTGAGTTTCAGTTTTGTTTTATTTTGACAAACATTTCTTGAACTCTCACTATGATTGAGTCTCTACACTGGGGGAGTGAGTAGTTGATAGAGTGGAGGCAAGGGCACTAAGGGTTATTTTTTGACATAGAAATCCTATGACTTCAGGTATGTTAAGTAGTCCAGGTACATGACAACTCTGATGAGATTTCTAAGGCCAAGATGATATGAAATACATTTGGCTGGTGTGTATACCTCATTTAATACAGGTGGTTCTCTTATAAATCTCATTCACATTCTGGGTGTGATGTAAAATTTTTAGTTTCTATAACTAGAAATGCATGAGCTTCTAATGACATCACTGCTGCAGCTAATTATTGTGATCTTAAGGTTTTTTTTTTTTTTTTTGCAGCCTGAAGAAGTATAGATCAAATTATATTTTTGGCAATATATCCTTCTTGCTCAAACAATTTGCTCCTTAACTGTTTTCTTTTTTTCTCTATAGGAACAGAGATCATGTATTCATTATTGTCTTTCTTTGTTAAAATCAGGCACTATTAGCAAAGGCCCAGTTTGTGATATTACATGGACACAAGCTTGCAGCAAATCACCATTATGCACTTGATTTAATCTGCCAGAGGTGCAATGAGCTACGTTACCTTTCTGATATTTTGGTTAATGAGATCAAAGCAAAACGGATACAGCTCAGCAGGACCTTCAAAATACATAAACTACTACAGCAGGTAGTGTAATGGGAAATGATTCATTTCTGAAAAGGAACGAACATTTTTTTCCAGGTCCTGCTAGCCTGAAACACTTTACCCTTCTGCCTCATGGAATACCCTTTATCTTCTCAGAATTTATATGGTCAGGGAATGGTATAGTTTTGGAATTAAATTTATAAGAAGTCTGAAGGACTGAATTTGATTATGATTTTTTCATCCATCTTCCAATGAACTATTCATGGAAGAGCCGATATAGTTCAAATTTTGCCCTTTGTTCTAAATATTGAAATTGTGGAGTAATGACTTCCTTTCTATTTTGGGTACAACTCTGAAGCCTCCACTGGTGATGGTTTGTACTTGAAACATTTTTAAAAGCCTGAGGGGCATTTTGCTAGAGCCTGAAACTCCTTTCACATTTCATAGTACAGAAATAAAATATAAAACAGTGACTGGAAAATATTCCTCCATGGTTTGTGGGTTTGACCCTTTTCACAATTAGGCAATGAATTGACAGGTCACCATGTGGATCTGGTGTTGGCAGTGGAATATAAAATAGGGGTACCACTTACAGACATTATATCTGAACAAAACATTTTAATCTTTACATCTCATTCTTTGGTAAGGAACCATTATTTTTGTCCTTAGCAGTCATTACGCATTTGTATTATACTTTATATTTTTCTAAGAATTTCATATTTCAGTTATTGATTTTGGGAAAATCATATGCAATTGAAGTGTTAGTGTTGAGAAAATGGTTTGACTCCTGCTGCAGAATAAATTAATTGTTGTGAAATAAATGCAGTTTTTCCAACCTTGGCTGCATATCAGCAATATCTGTGGAGCTCTCTAAAAGTATAAATGCCCAACTTATGGCCCAGAGCTGCTGAATCAGAATTTTGGCAGGCAGAACCTAGATATCTTTATTATTTTTTAAATAGCTCTGAAAGCATTTGCGACTCACAGAAGCCAGGGGCTGAGAACCACTCATTTAATGGACAAATATGTTTTCTCTTTATAAATTCTTATTTTTTTCTTCTTGATTTTCTCACCAGGCTCGTCAATGCTGTGATGAAGGGGAATGTCTTCTGGCTAATCAGGAAATAGATAAGTTTCAGTCCAAAGAAGATGCTCAGAAAGCTCTTCAAGACATTGAAAATTTTCTTGAAATGGCTCTACCCTTTATAAATTATGAACCTGAAACACTGCAGTATGAATTTGATGTAATATTATCTCCTGAACTTAAGGTAGAGTTTTAAACAAAATTTTCAAATAAACATTTAAAGAAAATTACAATTGCAGTAGTGTGGGTAGGAGTTTTACTACCTCACAGCTAACTTTATGTCAAATTGCACTTACATTGTCCTCTTAGGGGTGATAGTAGGGCCACTGTCAAGCATCAAATAATTCAAAGGCATATGTTTGCTATATAATGAAGAATAATTTCCTTTTTGAGCTCCAACTCCATTATTTTAATACTCTTTTTTATGTGCAAGGAGTTCTCACACATATTTTGTTGTGCATCACTGGAGAAAGGCCCAAAGCTCTTCTATAATAGAATATTGGGGCCATGTCAAGAGTACTCTACCCCAAACATCTTTCCTTTGTGCTGCAGTGATCATCAGTAGATGCTCTGTGGATGATGTGGCTTTCTTACTCAGTTTGAGAATGAAAGGATAAAGATAGGATTTGGGGAAGGAGGAGCAGGCAGAAGTTGATGTTAACAGGATGGACAGCTATAGTGCTGCCCCCTTGGAAATGACATGAAGGATTCTCCATGTTCAAGATAAGACCATTTGTGATGCTATTTGCTGCTAAAATAAGTAGTTGACTCTAAGATTGGAGCAGTATCTAGATTCATGCTTAACGGAATATCCTAGAGGTGCCCCAGGAAATCAGAAACATAGTCATGGCAATAGCCAAATGATTCTCTGGAAGCAACCAAGCTTAACTCTAGCTGCCTCAAAGCATTTAGGAGAGGTAGGAAGCTTTATTATCCATTGATGGCTCTGAAGAGCCTGTAGCAACATTGAGTACTATAACAAGAATGTCCCTGCAGGGTAAGTGTAACAAAGTATTATACCAATGTTATTCATTTGATTGTTTTTATAACTTGGTGACTTTCTTATGCTAAACAAGAAAGAGCAATATGCCTTCTTTTCCAGCCATTATCCATTTCAGCCAATGAAGGGCAAATCACTCTATGCAGTGACCAATTTCATGACTGCTTCTTGGTAATTTTTTTCCTCAGGTTGAGGTTTTGGTTGAGATTTTGGTTTCATATCCATGTGAACATAATACAAAGTTTGTTTTATTACTTTTCTAAATTTCTTATAGTTATATTTTAAACTCCAATTTGTTTTGACTATCTGAGTCGGAGAAATGTAGTAGGGTTTGTAATGACCTCATTTCAGAAAATATTTAATGTAATTCTTACGCAACCTGCAGGTTCAAATGAAGACTATACAACTCAAGCTTGAAAACATTCGAAGCATATTTGAGAACCAGCAGGCTGGTTTCAGGAACCTGGCAGATAAGCATGTGAGGCCAGTTCAATTTGTGGTACCCACATCTGAAAATTTGATCAGATCTACAGCACCATTTTTTTCATCTAAACATGGTAAAATATCTTACTTTCTCCATCTCTTTTTTTCTTGCTATTGTTTAAGTTGTTACTCTTGATGTAAATACCGAGTTTGTTCTTCAATGCTGATAGATGGAAATTTCACTTTAGCATCTTTGGTCATATTTATATTGTGCAAAGCAAGAGTCAAATTGAGGTTATTGTACAGCAGTAAAACATAGTAGTAATATAGTACAGTACAAGGAATTGTTAACACCTCAGTACTGAGTACTCCAGCCTTGCAAATGACTATGATAATTTTACCAACATTAAACTTACTTTTTTTTCAGCAGGTGAAGGAAAATACATGTATATATACATGTGTGCATGGACACACACACATACACACACACGCACAGAAACACATATTTACTGCTACTCTAGATAAGCTATGATTTGGTCCTTTTTTATTTGTATAAATTTAGGGAGTACAAGTATATACAGTTTTGTTACATGGATATATTTCATAGTGGTGAAATATGACTTGGTTCTTACAAGTTTCTAGTAAATGAATGAGTTAGGTAATCGAATGGATTTCCTTTTCTATATAAATGCTGTTAAGTAGAATAATTTTGTTCGTAATATACTGTTACAGAATTCATTTTCTAGTTTTAATTTTCTAGTTTTATCCATGTAGTATCTACTTTCTTTCTAAGTTCTATGGAAATAATAATTATCCTCATAATGTGTTGAACTACTCTGGATATAGATAGCTCAGAGGTTCCCTTGAGCTGCCTTCACGGCTTCTTAGAGGAGAGTAATTTGGTCTTTAGGGCCCTAAGAAAGTGGAATGGATGAAGATGAGAGTAAAGTCTGTGTATCTGATCTAAATGGAATCAGAAGCTTCACTAGTCTAGAGGAATCCTTTGGAATTCAGAGAAGGCTTGAGCCAAGGATAATGAGCATAAAAATAATAGGTTATATCTAGCATGGTTCAGATTTTAAAAAGGTGATGAAAGCAGGTAACTAGGCCAAGATTATGAAAAGTTACATATTGAATACTTATGAAATATAGAAATATATTTAGAAATAAAAATCTAAGCAATGTCTTAAATGAATAATATTGACTATATCAAAGATACAGGGAATATTAAAACTATTGGAAAAAAGAGTAAAGATAACAAAATAAAAAACAGTAAGGGAGTAAAACCCAATACCTATGAGAATAAAAATGAATAGGTTGATATTCTTGAGCAGAAGACAGACCTCAGTTAGATTTCTGGCTCCATGTACTGGGTGTATGTCCTTGAACAGTTCTCTTAGCTTCTTTAGCCTCAGTTTCCTTGCTTGGACAATAAGGGCGAAAATACTTACTGACTCCAACGGGTTATTGTAAAGATAGGGTGAAAAAAATTGAGAAGTATAAAAAGCTTGATAAACTGGACTAGTCCTTTCCTCTGGTTAAACCTGCTTGCTTAATTGTCCTCTAAAATCTCAACTCCTCTGAAGAGGTTCTTGAAGTGGTGCACCTTGGGTTGAGGAACGGAGTTTTGAGGAAACTCTCACAGATCCATGCAAGTCATTGGTCACTCATTAGCACATTTTGTTTTGTATTGTTTCATTATTTCTTTCTGATATTCTTATTTAATGGCGTTACAATTTCCTTCTGCAATGGGAGTTGGAGACTCTTTCAAGCATGTAAGCTTTTTTCAAAAGGTATCCACTTTATTATATTACTTCTGCCAATACATTTTTCTGAGTTTGCATACATGTGAAAAATCAGTTTGGCATCTAAAAACAGCAGCAGTTCATTCTTGCATTCTAACTGCAAGTAACTTTTTCCTGTTTTTCATAATAACCATCCATTCTCTTTGTATTATGTATTTGGAAAATGACTATATAAAATGTAGATTATGCTTCTAAACTCGATGTCTTTCATGAAATGACCCCCCAAAAAGAATAAAGGAAAACAATTGGAGATGCTAAAATGAATCAGGCTTTCTTTTGTTTAAGATACTTCATTATCCAACTTTTTGTTAGGAGTAGCTTGGATTTGCTTCAGTTTGAGACTGCCTAATGTATTTATAAAGATGAAGGCAGCTTAATAAATAAATGGCATGGATGGATAAACGATTTTATCTATTATGCATCATTCTTTGTAAATTAAATCAAAACATTATTTTTTGCTACAAACCTTGTTAATTTTACCTAATTGCTCTGTGAGTAATAGGGATTATAACAATCCATTCCAAACAATTTCTTTAGACGTTTAATCTCTAAGCCACATATATAAAATTTGGCCACCTTAAAACATGAATATTACTTTCTTACAAAAATGAATCTAACTTTTTTTTCCTTTCTTTTTATTTTAGTTTTTCTTCTTTTTTTTGTCAATATAATTCTGCACCTAGCACAGTACCTGGCACTTAGCAAGATGTAATAAATATTTGTAGAATTGACATTGAATATAGAGTGTAGTTATTGAGAATGTGAGACATTGACAACGAGGTATAAAATGTAAAATGTGACTTGAGCTACTAAATCTGTATCTTTAGCCTGCATCTTTCTTCTAAACTTTGGACCTCTGTTTATAATTTGCCTTTTTGAATTTCCCATAGGCAACTCAGACTCAACATACCTCAGATTAATTCCTCTTTCCTGCAATCTTTCTACTCTTCATCTTGGTGAATGGCACTATGATTTCCCCAGTTGCCCAAGCCTGGGGCTTTTGTTCTTCCTTCTCACTTATGCCCTACCTCTAATTGGTCAGAAATTCTGTGTCCTGTGGATTTGTGCCTACTAAGTATCTGTCTCAAATCTATCCACTTTTTTTTCTTTTTTTTCATCCCCACTGCTATCCTTACTGCCACTTTCCTAGTCTAAGCTAACATCATCTCTGGCCTTGACAACTGTGACGGTCTTTCTGTCTCTTCCACTTACCTACCCACTTTTTCTTCCCTTTCCTAGGTGTCTTACCTTGTGGACATTACACACACTGTTCTCTCTCTGGGACACTATTCCCTTTCCTCTCCTTTTTTCACATGTTAGCTTGTACTCCTCCATCAGATTTCGTATCTCTAGGCCACTTCCTTCAGGTAAGCTTTACCTCCCCACATCTCCTCCTTCCTTACACCCCTGTTTGCTTAGGTGTTCGTGCTATGTGCTAACAAGTACCCCTGAATTTCTTCTTGGCTTTAACGAATTGTCTGTTTTCTGTCTCTCTTGCTAAACTAAGCTCTGTAAGGGCAAAAACTATGTGCAATTTATCTTTGTATCCCAAACACAGAGGTTAGCATATGGTGTAGGTACTCAGTCATTTTATATGTATTGTTAGAAAATGAATACATCTATCTTGCTTTGCAGAATGTGTTTCTCATAAGTTGCGCATATATTTATTTTGTATCTCTTAATGTATTTGCAAAGAATTAATTAGCAAAAGTAATAATTGCTTCTTAAGTTACCTTTAGAAATAAGTTTGGATCTCTGTAGAACAGGTTTCTTTAAAGTGGAGCATATTAGTATTCATTGAGAAGTTAATTTTGTATGATAGTTCCCACTAAGTGTAATATATATTTATATATGATTATATAAACATGAAGTTTAGATGTAAAATATATTTTAATAAGTGAAAGTGAAGTATAGAGTCTAGAGAACATAATAGCCCATCGTTTTCCTGAGTGTGCCTGACATTGGCTCCTGCTGAGGAGGGAAAGACAAAAGGTTTGTTCCTTTCATGGAGAGAAGAGACCCATGCAGCCTGTATGAGTTACAACAGCCTTTTCAGCAGCCCTGAGAATTAGAATCTAAACAATCTAGTCTTTGGTTGGAACATGCATTTGGCTTTGTAGAAACATCTGAATTCTGTGCTTAATAATACAGTGGCTCACCCTTTTTAAACTAAACATTTAAAAAATAAAGATGAGGGGGAAGGGAGGGATGGGAAAAGGAGAGAACCCTGGCAACCAAAAAATCTGTATAGAAAAAAACTCTCAAAGATCGAAAAAGAAACTAAAACAGTCCAAGATAAGCAAAAATGGAGAGAGTTTGTCACCAGAAGAATTGCCCTATATGAAATAACGGGAATTCTTCAGGCTGAAATAAAAGGACAATGGACCGTAACTCAAATGCATGTAAAGAAATGAGAAATACTGGTAAAAGCAACTACAATGATAAATACAAAAGTCGGATTAATGAATTTTAGATTTATAAAATTCCTTTTTCCTAAACAATTTATAAAAACAGATGCATAAAACAATAAGTATAAGTCTGTGTTAATGAATCCTCAATTTGCAGCAATAAAAACATTAAGGAGGGGCATAAAGGTTTATAGGAGCAAAGTTTCTATATACGACTGAAACAAAGTTGGTATTAATTTGAACTAAACTGTTAAAAGTTTAGGGTATTAACTGTGATCTCCAGGGCAACAACTAAGAAAAGAACTGAAACATATACAGTAAAATAACGAAGGGAATCAAAATGATACACTAGAAACTGTTGATTTACTACAAAGCAGGCAGCAATGGAGGAACCGAGAAACAAAATAGATATAAAATATGTAAAAACAAATCACAAAATGGAACAAGTCCTTCCTTGTGAGTAATTACATTAAATGTAAACTAAAAGGTAGAAATGGTGGAAGAGGTTTTTTTTAAAAAGATGATCTAATTATAGGTTGTCTATAAGAGTTACCTTAGATCTAATGAAACAAATAGATAGCAAATAAAAAGGTACCAAAAGATATTCTAAATAAACAGTAACCAAAGAAGAGCTAGGACAGCTATATTAATATCAGATAAAATATACTGTAAGATAAAATTTGTTGGAGGAGACAAAATGCCATTATATAAAGGGTCAATTCATCAAGAGGAACCATTACGAACATATACGTATTAAACATCAGATCCCCATAATATGTGAAGCAAATAGTAACAGAATCAATGAGAGAAAAAGATAGTTCAATAATAATCTAAATTGGAGACTTCAAGGCCCTGTTCTCAATAATGGATTACATATCTAGACATACAAACAATAAGGAAACAAAGGACCTAAATAATATTATAAACCAACTAGACCTTATAGACAATTATAATAAATACCTTAGGGTATTTATCTTAACAGTAGCAGAATACATGTTCTTGTCAAGTACACATGTAACATTCCCCAGAACAGACTATATGTTAGACCACAAAACCAGTCTCAATAAATTTTAGAACACTTAAATCATACAGAGTATCTTCTCTGATCACAGTGAACTGAGTTAGAAATCAGTAACAGAAGAAACACTGAAAAATTCACAAATAAGTGAACATTAAACAAAATACCCAAACAATGAATAGTTTAAGGAAGAACCAAAGGGAAAACAGAAGGTAAGTTGAGATAAATGAAAATGAAAACTTATCAAAATTTATGAATTGCAGCAAATGCAGTGATTGGGATAAATTTATAACTGCTAATGTTTATATGAAAAAAGAAGAAATACATTAAGTCAATAACCTTATCTTTTACCTTAAGGAACTAAAAATTGAAAAGCAAATTTAACCCAAAACAAGCTGAAGGGAGAAAGTAATAAATATTAGAGTGAAAATAATTGAAATATAGAGTAGAAAAACAGCAGAGACAATTAAGAAAAAAATCTAAGTTGGTTCTTCCAGAAGATAAACAAAATTAACAAACCTTTAGTTAGACTGACCAAGAAAAGAAAGACTCATATTATTAGAGTCAGGAATGAAAGTGGGGTATTACTACTGATTTTATGTAAATAAGAATTATAAGAGAATACTATGAATGGTCAATTATGTTATGTGAATTTTACCTCAGTACAAAATATACAATGGTTCTTTCTCTTACCAAAAAAAAAAAAAAAATCCTTCTGCACTCTCCTGAACATTGCAGACCCAGTCTCTTGCAGCCCCAAGGTATCCTCAGCCATCTGCTTGTTCTTCCCCTCCCATATGTGAGATTCAGCAGGCTTAAAACCTGGGCTCTGCCTTAATTTATAACCTGTAATATGACTATTTTAAACTTATGTGCACCCTTCCTTATTCATCAGAGTTCATTGTACAGTCTTAGATCTGTAAGACAAGACTGAGGAAATTCGATTACACATCCTGGTTGATTCCCTCAAATATAGTCCAACAATGCTGACTGAACTCAAATCAGATCTTCATGTTAACTCAGCATAAACACCTGTTCCCTAAACTACTCTTTTGAAGCCTTTTCAGTTGTGACAATATTGTAAGAAAGAATATTTGATGGTAAAAAATAAAGAAAGAAAGAAAGAAAGATGAAAGCTTTGCATTTTGATGAAATTTTTTAGCATTTTATCATGCATTGAAAATGTTTATATGGTGGTTAGAGACATTCTGAGACTAGATTATATGAATTTGAATACCACCTCTGTTTCTTGGACAAGATATTAATCTTAGTTCCTTATCTAAAAGATAGGGATAGAAGTCATTACCTACCTCATAAGATGATTTTGACTATTAAAAAATAAGATTTATGCATAGCTCTTAGAACAGTGCTCAATATGTAGAAAGTAACAAATAAATGTTAGATGCTCTAATTAGTAGATTAAACTTAGATTTTTTTCAAAATTCTTTTTGATTGAGTTAATTAATGAGCTACAATTTGATTAAATGTTTTTTGTGTCAGAATCAATGCTAAATCTGCAAAGAATTATGAACACTAACCCCTACCTCAATGCTTTGCAAGTAAGTGAATGTTTGATGAATGTGAGAAGGGGTGAATACGTAGTAAAATCATGCTCAATAAGAAGCTGAAATCATGTGAAGTCCAACCAATTGTTATTTTCTATAGTGTGATTTAAAAATACTAATATAAACATATTGGAATATTAACTCAAATTATTTAATAAATATGTATGTATTTTTATTAAAAGTACTGACTTTAATTCTGGTTTGAAATTCTTCTTTCACATTTCTCTACCAGGGAAGAAGACTTGGAGACAAAATCAGAGCAACTTAAAAGTAAATATCATTAATTAATTCAAAATTGACTTTTTTGCTTTAGTTGTAGAATTGGTATGGGCCTTAAACCATATTTTTCATTCACTAGACCAATATTGTGTCTTTGAAAGACTGTTTAAAAGAAAGAAAATCCTGCTGCTGCATTGTGTTTCACTGCATTGCTGGCATATCACCAGATATACTAGTTTCTCAGTCTGAGCCATTTCTCAAGTCCTGGCTCAAGGTTAGAATCATTTGTGTAGAACATCTCCTATATGTTCCAGCTTCTTTATTTACCACCACCCACCATAACCTCAATAATTGTAAATAAGCAATGCACCTTTTTGCAGAAGAAACTTTCTTTCATGAGCAATTCCAGTCCTACAAGTATGAAGCACACAGGGCAGGTTCTAATGCACCATGCAGAGGCTAACTCAGAGCTCAAAAAAGTTATCCATTCTTTTTTTGTTTGTTTTTAAATATTTTTAGAGACGGGTTCTTACTAAGTTGCCAAGGCTGGAGTGCAGTGGCTATTCACAGGGGCTACATAGCTCACTGCTGCCTCTAATTCTTGGGCTCATGCCACCTTCCCACTTCAGCATCCTGAGTAACTGGGACTACAGATGTGTGCCACTGCACCCATTCTACTTTCTTATTGTTAGATACAAGATTCCGTTCCTCTCAGTTATCTGTGACAGTCTGATACCTGTAAAGAAGTAGACTCATCATAGATACAACATCCCACATTTTCTTTTCTCTCATTTTTTTTTTTTTTTTTTGAGACAGGGTCTCGCTCTGTTACCCAGGCTGGCATACAGTGGTGTGATCATAACTCATGGCAGCCTCAAACTCCTGGGCTCAAACAATCCTCCCACCTCAGGCTTCTGAGTATCTTAGACTACAGGCATGTGCCACTATGCGTGGCTAATATTTTTAACACTTTTTTTTTTAATTGGTAGAAAGGGTCTTCTATGTTGCCAAGGCTGGTCTTAAACTCTTGGCTTCAGGTGATCTTCCTGCTTTGGTCTCCCAACGTGTTGGGATTACAGGCATGAGCCACTGCTCCCAGTCCCCAAGACTCCACATTTTCTTTGTGTGTATTTTTTTGTGTGTGGTAAATAAAGATTAGAACATATTTTTAAGGGGTAGTATAGCATAGTGGTACAAATTGTAGAACTAGACTACCTGGCTTTTAATCCCAGTTACATCACTCACTGGCTATATAAACTTGGGCAAATTCTCTGGAACTCAGTTTCCACATATAAAATGGTGATAAGAATAGAACATTCTCACCATGGAGTTAAGGATAAAATAATCTAATATTTGTGAAGTACTTTGAACATGTGTGGCATATGATAATGCTCTAAGTTTTAATATAATTAATAGCAGCCTAGTGAATTGCCTATACTGATATACTAGGCCTGGTTATTATGTTGTACAGCCACAAATTCTGGTTTCAAGAAGGAAACAGGGTGAAATGCCAAAGTCTATACTATTACATGTCTTACAGTTGTAGTTTCAAGTCATGATACCTTACATTTTCCATATGGATTTATTCAGTTGCGTATCCCCAAGGAAAAACATATGAGGCTGTGGCTCTATTTTTTGGTGCAGTTTACAGCTGGTAAATATAGTTCCAAACTGCATTTTTCCAATTCAAATCAATTTGTACAACTCTTAGATATTTAAAAGTATTAATTTATGTTTCAAATTTTTCCACAAAACCTGTCAGGAATAATAGATATCTGATATCCATTTACTATCTGATAAGTGAAGTGTACAGTATTTTTAGTTTTCATTATGATATTAAAATATTGATAATGCCTGGTACATTTGCCAGACATAACAAATCAGAGCACACCCTGGAAGAGGGACCTTGATAAAGGTGGCAGGCTCTGGGCTTCGACACTTGGGCTTGATACTGTTTCATCATTTACTAAGTATGCAACCATAGCTATGTTATAAAATCTCTCTGAGCCTCAGTTTTCCCATACTTAAAAAGAGAAAAAGAATGCCATCTCTTGCTAAATGCTGTTTGGATTGAATATAATTATATGTGTTAAGCAGCTAGGACTGTGCATGCCTAATATATATAAAGTTGTAATACATGTTTGTTTCTTTCATTTGTAATAAGTAGGTCACATTTTGGGGAAATATTTAGCTGATAGAGACTGTACTTCATTTTGAATTCTAGTTGTCACAAAGCAATGTTACATTTGCTTGGAGGTCAGGCTTTTGGCAAGCTCAGCTGTCCAATACAGCTGAGATTAGATTCTTCTTCTTCTTCTTTTTTTTTTTTTTTTACAATAGAATTTCACTCTTATTGCCTGGGCTGGAGCGCAATGGCGCAATCTCAGCTCACCACAACCTCCGCCTCCCGTATTCAAGCGATTCTTCTGCCTCAGCCTCCTGAGTAGCTGGGATTACAGGCATGTGCCACCATGCCTGGCTAAATTTGTATTTTTAGTAGAGGTGGGGTTTCTCCATGTTAGTTAGGCTGATCTCGAACTCCCGACCTTAGGTGATACGCCTGCCTCAACCTCCCAAAGTGCTGGGATTATAGGCATGAGCCACTGCGCCTGACCCAAATGCTTCATAAGAACACATAGCCATTACAAATCTTTTGCAGTTGACTCAGTAGGCCAGTCCCAGTCCTTTAGAGTCTCTAAAATAAGGAAGTGGCTTAGAATTAGGGAGGCAACTTATAACAACTAATATGTGGCAGGGAGTAGAGACAGAGATGTACAGGTTACAGTTATTTCAAGAAAGAATAGAGAGTTCTGCAGGTTTTAGTATTCCTGGAGTACATTATAGATTTATCATATTCAAATTTATGATGATACCATTAAATCATTAGGAAAAGGATCTTCTAGCTTGCCCCAGATCTTAGAAAGAAAAAATAAAGGAAAAGGATCAGTTATGCTGTGTGTCTTTGATTAAAGAATTCAAGGATCCATGTAATATTTTCTAGAAAAGTTTCCATCAAAAAATCACTATGGTTAAAAACATGTTTAGTTCCTCAATGAATGCACTTTAGTTATCTAGAAAATCAACTTTTTATGAATCAACCTCTTTTTCCAAGAATGACAAATAAATGAAAAGTTAATATATAAAATAAGTTCTAATTAGTATCACAAATCTGTTTTCTTAGGCAACTTAAGTCACTTTTTACTAGCACATATCAAAGTTATTTTGAAAAAAAGTCATAGTTTAATTTTTCAATTTATCTTCAAAGTTAGGACTAGAATAAACTTAATGTGAAGTAGATAGCCTTGAAGAAGAACTATACATACAGAGATGCTAATTTAACTTTTATTTTCTATATTTCAGATTGAAGTGGTGAATGATTGTCCGGAGAAGAGAAGTTCTGGGCAATCCTCCAGTTTGGATAATGACAATAGCTTGGACGTTTTAAAGAAGTATTCTTTATTTATTAACATAAACTCACATATACATCTAACTGTAGGAGTCTCTGGTTCAGTGTTCCAGGCCAATGTGATTAGAAATTTGAGTTCACAGAATGGGGTTTTACTGAGTGTGATGAAAAGAGCACTAGTTTAGGTGCCAGAAGTCCAGGATTTAGGCTGGGCAAGCTATGGCCTGTTTATGTGATTTGAGGAAAATTAACAAAAGTTTTTTAGAATTTTGGTATCCTCTTTTTTTCCCCCTAGAATGAAATAAAATGGAGGTTTTTGTATATCATTCTTAAAAAAATGTTTTATTATTATTTGTCATTGACACATAATCATTATACATATTTATGAAATACAGTGTGAAATTTTGAAACATGTATATAATGTGTAAGGATCAAATCATGGTAATTAGCATATCCATTAATTCTTCAGCTTTATTGATATATAATTGACAAAATTATAGATATTTAAAGTGTACAATGTGATGCTCATATATATATATATATGAGCATCTATCTATCTATCTATAGATAGCATCTATCTATCTATCTATAGATAGATAGATAGATAGTGTGAAATGATTACCATATCAAGTTAGTTAACATATCTATCACCTCACATAGTTACCATTTTTGTGTGTGTGTGTGTGTGGTGAGAACAGTTAAAATCTCTTCTCTTAGCAAAGGTCTGTATACAAAATGAGTAGAATGATACATCAAAAGTTACAAAGGATTATACAGACTTATACAATGTTATCTTATAGATGTTAATACTCATTGTTTTGTTCACTTTTATGTTATATTATCCTCAAAGGTATTACAAAGGATGATATAACAGATTCTTTCTCATGGGGTTTTTGTAAGTAATAAAAGAGTATGTATGTTTTATAAAGAAAATTCTAGACATAGGAATATTCATTTTTAAAATTTTATATTACAGAGTTTTAAGTAGCAAGCATTTTGCAGCAAATTGTGTGTATACATATGTGTGTATGAGATACATATATATACGAACACATATATATATACACTAAGACTCTCAAATGTTAGGTGCTTTAAAATGCAAAAAGAAAAATGAAAAAAAAAAAGCCAAAGTATAAGTTAAATCAAATGTATTACTTATGCTGGGAACAGGGGAAATTAGTTTTAAATATGATGTCAATTGGAAAATCACATTGAAAGGAAAATACATTTTATTTTCCAGAGACAGTAAACAAAATTATTATAGAAACAGGCTGGGCATGGTTAGTCATAGCTGTAATCCCAGCACTTTTGAAGGCCCAGGTAGGCAAATCATTTGGGGTCATTAGTTTGAGATCAGCCTGGCAAACATGGTGAAACCCTGTCTCTACCAAAAAAGACCAAAATTAGCCGGGTGTGGTGGTGAGCACCTGTAATCCCAGCTACTCGGGAGGCTGAGGTAGGAGAATCACTTGAACCTGGGAGATGGAGGTTACAGTGAGCCAAGATTACCCCACTGCACTCAAGCCTGCATGGCAGAGTGAGACTCCATCTCAAAAACAAACAAACAAACAAACAAACAAACAAAAACTGTGGAAACATAAGTATGACCTACACTTGGGAAGACCAGTGTAAAATATCTGCTACCATTATTAGAATATTTCAGAACATTACTGGGAAAAGGGAAAAATAGTGCCTAAAATGCTAATACTTTTTTTTTTTTTTTTTTTTTTTTTGAGACGGAGTTTCGCTCTTGTTACCCAGGCTGGAGTGCAATGGCACGATCTCGGCTCACCGCAACCTCCGCCTCCTGGGCTCAGGCAATTCTCCTGCCTCAGCCTCCTAAGTATCTGGGATTACAGGCACGCGCCACTATGCCCAGCTAGTTTTATTGTATTTTTAGTAGAGACGGGGTTTCACCATGTTGATCAGGATGGTCTCGATCTTTCGACCTCGTGATCCACCCGCCTCGGCCTCCCAAAGTGCTGGGATTACAGGCTTGAGCCACCGCGCCCGGCCTGCTAATACTTATTTTTTAGGGAAAAAAGGAAATTAAAGTTCATAAACCATGCTACCCCAAAACAATGAAAGCCTCACACATTTAGGAATAGTTATTGTGAGTTTTTAGTAAACTTATTCCTAATTTCAGAGAGTTAGAAATAAAATTATTTAAAGCTAATAGTAATCCTTGAGCATCTCCCTTTCTTTGATATATATATATATATGTGTGTGTGTGTGTATTTAAAGTCTTATGGGTGGTTTTTATTCTAGAAACCATAAAAGTAGTTTCATATTTTGATGACAAAACAAAAACCATTGGTAGTTCCTATGCATTAGCTATTTTTTTTACCTTCTTATGATTATACTTGAAACAGTGCAATATAGATCTCAGTAATTAAATAACTGATAAATGTGGTCTTTTCATTTTAGCCACGTCCTAAATGAACTGATACAGACTGAGAGAGTTTACGTTCAAGAACTGTTTACTGTTTTGCTGGTAAGCGACTCAAATTGTATTTGCCCTATCTTTTCCTGAATGATCCCTGGCAACGTTCATTAGAAAGTGTTTAGGTACAGTCTTCTACTTCTGTCTCCTTCCTTGCTTCTCATATGGCAGCAATGGGCATTTCTTTTATTGTCTGACACAGCCTGTTAGTTAAATGTGCACATTCAGGTTCTCCCTCAGTAATGGTAATGATTGATTCAGAATTTGTTACAGAAGAGAAAATGTTCTCTTAGGAATACAGCAGATTGTTACAATTATTTACAGGGTGCTATTTAGAGACTGTGATGTAAAAACCTGAGAATGGGATAAAATATTCATTTGACAAGAATGTTATGATATTAATTTGGTCTGAAAGAACCTAAACACGTCTTGCCAGTTTAAGGAGAAGCTGATGACCTGTAATTTATGTTTTCATCTTGGTTTCTATCTTGTTTCCTATACTACAAGCTACTCTGAAGGGCAAAGAGCTATTACTTTATTCTGACTATTGATTGGAAGACCTTGACTTCCTTGTCCTGCCTTCTGGAAAAAAAAAAAAAAGTAATGGATAACTTTGGGAAGTAGGAGATTGGAACTGAATTAAAACTGAATTAAAATTCAAACAACTTCACCCTCCAATCCCCTAATACTCTACTGTACCTACAACATTAGTATCCCAATTAAATGTGCATGTAAATATTTAAAACACATGAATGTATTTATTTTGGGTAGGGTTATAGAGCGGAGATGGATAATCCAGAGATGTTTGATCTTATGCCACCTCTCCTGAGAAATAAAAAGGACATTCTCTTTGGAAACATGGCAGAAATATATGAATTCCATAACGAGTATGTAATTGCTGAATTGAATATTATTTTCCATTAAACTATTTAAAGTGCTCTCTTGACCACTTTATTATATTTCACATAAAATCATGTAATTTTTTTTTCTCTGAAATTTTCACAGCATTTTCTTGAGCAGCCTGGAAAATTGTGCTCATGCTCCGGAAAGAGTGGGACCTTGTTTCCTAGAAAGGGTGAGTTAAGTTATTTTTAAAAACATATAAATACGGGCCACCAAAATAGAAACTCACTTATAACAACAGATTTGGAGACAAGATAGGTACTTTATGTCTTTATATTTTTGGAGAAGATACATTACTCCAGCAAGTATTTAATACCGAACCAAATTTTGCTGCAGAAACGAATGCACTGGGATATCCAGAGCATGGAAATACCCATTGCATTTTGTGGTATCAAATGCTTCATTGGCCCAGCTCGTGAACACTGACTCCTGGGTGATCTTAGTAATCCAGGGACCACCCTGGCTATGAAGATGTAAGAGTTGGGATCATCATAGCAAAACCATCTGGGGCTTTGTCAATTTTTGGCCTAAAAATTGACCTTATTATTTATATTATTAAAATATATGTAAAGTTTTAGAATTAATTCTAGTCTGAGTTACAGCCACCAAGGCATAGATCACAGGAACTTCACAGAAACAGAGAGCTGTCAGTTCTTTTCATTCAACAAAAGTGTTCAGGGAGGTCCATTCCTCTATGTCCCAAGTATGGTTAATCCAATTGACTTCCCAGGTTAGTGATCATACTCTCCTCCATCAGAGTTTTCTGTTAGAATATTTTTTGTGCATGCTTCTCTGCTTATGTAGTTTCTCCTCTTCCTGAAAAATCAGTTTTGTCTTAAGAGTTAATTCAATAGAGGTTATTGTTGAAAGCTTCAAAATAGATATCTTATCCCAGAAAGAGTTTATGAAATAAGAAGAGAATAAGGATAAGAAAGTACTGTGTGTCCACCTTGCTCGACATGTTCTAACTTTAAACATGTTTAAATTATGGCCACATTCTTTCCCAGCCTTCTCAAGCAATAGCAGTTTATCCTTCCTTTAGACTCTATAGTATGTAATGTCTATACTACTCATTTGATATTTACTGTGCTTGTACACCTTACATGTATACATGAATTTTCTCCCAAACTTGGGAAAGCTCTTAGATCCAGGATTCATATCCTATATATTGTATCTTCATTAGGTTAGCAGAGTTCTTAGCAACCAGTTGTGGTTTAATAAATGTTTATTGATGAATTGTTCATTTATTCAACAACCATCTACTGGTCACCTACTATGCACCAAGCATTGTGCCAGATAATGTGGATACCAAGCCCAAATCTATTTAGGTATAAAAACAAGGAAATTATTAATTGTGTAGAAGATGAGTTGCCCTAGATCAGAAATACACAAATTGTCCTAGGAAAATCCAGAAAAAGGGCATCTTACATAGAATGGAGTTATAAACAATGGTTTTATAGAAGAGATAACTTATGAGATAAGTGTTAAATAATGAGTAGGGAGGGGATAGCCGATTCATGAGGGTCAGAGAACGAAGATTCCAGGGAGAGAGAATTGCATGAGTGCCTAGATAGATTATGCTACAATGACAGTGTCTCAATGATGAACCTAGAGCTGTAAGCTCTAACTTGGAAGTCAGCTGCAAGTTCGTTCACTAGAGAATCAAGAGACTAATAACAGAACATATTTCTTGGCACCTTATTAACTCATCATTATGCAAAAAAGCAGGTTTTTATAGTTCAGACAGAGAAGGCTCCATCTACGCCTCAAGCTTGGTAAGTGGAAGTTCTGATATTACTTAGATAATTATGTGTCCTCCCACCAGATTCAATGGGCATGCTGTTCTTGGAATATAAAGAAGGCTTTTGACCAGCTGCCAGTAGAGTAGGCCCTTTAGGCCACATTTCCTAGGATGCTTGGTCACACACTTGTTTAGCCTTTCTTGATGGCAAATGTCATATTTGCAAATTAGTAATTTATTTGAATTTGGTTCTTATCACAGAAGGATGATTTTCAGATGTATGCAAAATATTGTCAGAATAAGCCCAGATCAGAAACAATATGGAGGAAGTATTCAGAATGTGCATTTTTCCAGGTATGGTAATTATTCCAATATTGGATATACTCTTTCGGGAAGATATTGGGATATTTCTTAATTATAAATTCATTTTCTACTTTGGTATGTTACATATGCATATACATACATAGGTTAAAGAGAAAGTCTGCCCCTCCCCACCACAGCACACACAAACACATTTGTAAATTCCCAGAGGCAAACACTTTCAGCACTTTTAGCTACATCCTTTGGTATTTACCTCCATAGCTTCAAATGATATGCTTATCTTTTTCCTTCATACTATGGAAGATAAGGATTTAGCTCTCATTCACTGTCCCCCACCCAACTACCACATATATAAATATACTCCTTTTCTTACAATACCTCCACTATAGTTATATTGTAATTTTGATTAGATTGGTATACAGTGTTAAACGAAGACTATGTAATTTCTTTGCTCAGATGAATCATGTGGTCTAATAGGGTTGCTTTTCCTTCCCTTCTGTTTGTCTTGCAATGGTGTTTTAACTTAGTTTTCTAGATACTTATTATTATTCTACCCCAACCTCTCCCAGATGTGGGAGTTACAAAAATCTCTTCTTATTACATTTAAACACATTATTTTTTTTCTCTGAAGTTCATATTCTTCAAGAAATATCTCCTGGAGGTATTTGTCTTGCTTATCTAGACTTACTAGGCCTGTTGCACAGCTGACACCTGGGGATCTTGGTGAACATAATTTCTGGAATTCTCCTCACCTGTCTATTGCATAGGCTCTCCTCCTTCCTAGGTGCCATGTCTTTATCTTTCTTGTTTACCTGCCTTGTTTGGTAGAACACATCCTCCAGTAGTTTTCCTGAAAGAGTGTACACAGTACATAAAAGTTTTTGAGAGTATATGTGCCTGCAAATATCTTTATTCTATCTTAAGACTTAATTGCTAGTTTGGCTGGGTATATAATTCTAGGGAAGAAATAATTATACTCAGAACTGTGAAGGTATTGCTCAATTGTCTTATAGCTTCTAGTATTACTATTCAGAAATCTGATGCCATTTTAATTTTTGTTCCTTTGCAGGTGACTTTGTTTCTGTCATCTGGAAGCTTATGAAAACTTCTGTTATTTTCGGTGTTAAAATGTTGGCACTATTTTTATCCATTATGCTAGTCTTGGGGTGATAACTTTGAATTTGGAACCTCCTACCCAAATTTACTTGGAGTTTTTCTTTGACTGCCTCCAACTAATTTTCTCCATTTTCACTTTTTGGAATTTCTGTTGTACAAGTTTGGACATCCTGGACTGGTCCTCTAATTATCTTATCTTTTCTATTTTCCATTCTTTGTCTTCTTATTCTACTTTCTAGTCCTTCTATTGAGGTTTCCATTTCTGCCATTGTGTTTTTAGTTTTGAAGAGCCCTCACCTTTGTTCTGTTTTTTTTTTTTTTTTAACAATGTTTCTTTTAATAAAATCCTGTTTTCATTTTATGAATTCAGTATCTTCATTCATCTACACAAAGATGAGAGTAGATTTTTCTTTTAAAAATAGTTTTCTTCTCCCTGCACAGTTTCTGTTGTCTTCACGTTGCACTTTTTCTTTCTATTTCTCTTTGGTTCCTATTACCCATCTTTGATGCTCTCTTCAAATGCCTGGTGATACTTGTCTGTCCACTTAAATTGGGAGCAAACACTAAGAAGCTCGATGAAAGTTTCCAGGGCATATGTGGGTTTATTGACCATGATCCTCACTGTTGAGTTATTTGTCTCAAGCTATTTTCTTAAAGGGATTCCCCAATACCTGTATCTTTAGAGCATTTCTATTAGGCTGGTCAGATTCCTTGAACTGCGACCTTGTGTATAATGATCTGGCTGCCAGTGTTGCGGCAGCCAACTTGGGAGAAAAGGCTGAGGGTCATTAATTTGAGAGATAACATGGAGATTACTTGAATATTTTTCAGTATGGTACTCTACCCTAAATTGAACCTTATATCCTTTAGTCCATAGGCCCTGTGCTTTACTCTTTCTAGATAAACATCCATTCTCCTGCCAAAGGAAGAGTGAGAAGGCACCGAGCTGTGTAGAGTGATATGGTTATCTGAGAGCCTTATTGCTTTTGTTTAGATTTTCATGCCATTTATTATTTTTTGTAACAACTTTATTGAGATAAAATGTCATCAGTTCACCATTTTAAAGTATACAATTCAATGGTTTTACTGTATTCACAAGGCTGTACAACCATCACCACAATCAATTTAATATTTTTATCACTAAAAATAAACCAGAACCTTTTATCAGTTACCCTTATATTTTCCCCAAATCTCAGCAACCCTAGGCAAACACTAATCTACTTGCTGTCTTCAATAGATTTGCCTATTCTGGACATTTGATATAAATTGAATCATACAATATGTGGTCTTTTGTGTTTGACTTCTTTCTTTTACTTAGGATAATATTTTAGTGGTTCATCCATGTTGTAGCATGATTTAGTTTTTTGTTCCTATTTATGGTTGAATAATATTCCATTATATGGATGTATTGCATTTTATTTATCCATTCATTGGTTGATGCACATTTGGCTTGTTTCCACCTTTTGGTTATTATGAACAATGCTGCTAAGAATGCTTTTGTACAAGTTTTTGTGTAGATGTGTTTTTATTCCTCTTGGCTGAATACCTGAGAGTGAAATTGCTAGGTCATATGGTAACTCTACATTTGACTTTTTAAGAAACTGCTGTACTCTTTTCCAAAGTTGCTGTACCATTTTACATTTCTGACAGCAGTGTATGAGGGTACTAATTGCTCCATATCCTCATTAACACTTGTTATTAGCTAATTACTTCTTAAAAAGGCGTTCAACAAGCATGTTTTCTTGAACCTCACCTTTACCTCCCACTCTCAGAGGTACTTGGCATCTGTTATCCTGAGACTTTGTGGAGGGCATGCAGAAGATGTATATAACATAAATTGAGTTGTTCCTTGACTTTTTCCTCTGCCAATCTGAAATCCACTTTTTTCTCCAGTGTGCTCAGTTGTTCTTCTAGGGTTGGTTTCCAGTTTCCAAATTTTGCTGAAGTTTTTCACTTTCTTATCTTCTTCATAACTTTGTGATTTTGCCTTGTAAAATAACTTATTCATCATTTTAGCTTGGTATCATGAGTGAGGAGATCTAAATGCATGTATCAGGTTGGTGCAAAAGTTATTGCAGTTTTTGCCTCTGAAAGTCATGGCAGGAACCACAATCACTTTTGCAACAACCTAATAGCAGTACTCCACCTTTAACTATAAATTGTTAATTATTGTTTGAATTAGATTGTATTTTGGATTTTATCTGTATTCAGAGGGAGCCATGGTTCTTATTCAGGTATACTTTTCCCCAATCCCTTTTTGTTCTGTACTTTATGCACATTTTATCCTAAATACCCACATCTTGCCCTAACTATGGGCCCCTACAATGTTCCTAGACTCAATATCATGACCCTTATATTTACAGTGATAATAGGCCAATTACTGGATGAAACATAGCACCAGTTGATGAGGGCTTTATTTTCTTGTGATATTAAAAATTTTGTTTGCATGTCCAGTCTGATTTATATTCAGCACAACCAATTTCTTTCTGACCCTTGACTAGTAGAGCTTGGTCTTTTGTGAATTTTCTTGAATATATTAAAGAACATTTTAATCATGCTAATTTATAGCCATTCCCTGATTTCACATCTTTTAAGCATTCCATATCAATATGAATTTATATGTGAAAACTTTTAAATCTTTGAAATGTTGAAATGGTTTACCTCTCCAATCCTTGAAACAGTGTTTATGGTAGTTTTCAGAAATACTGTGTCTTATAATTTCTGTACTACTACACATAACAGTGATTTTTCCAATAAATTTTCTTTGAGATATAAGAAACATTGGGGCATTAGGTTTAATCAATGAACACTTGATATTTTCACAGGTACATGTTTTAATATATTTTTATATATATTTATCTTTTAATGACAGGAATGTCAAAGAAAGTTAAAACACAGACTTGGACTAGATTCCTACTTACTCAAACCAGTGCAACGAATCACTAAATATCAGTTATTGTTGAAGGTAATTATATGAAGCATTTGTTTCTTGCTTTACTTTTTGAGTCAGATATGTCAGAGCCATTAAAAAGAAAATAGTTTACTAGGAAGCACTAGAAATAGGTAGGCTCAATGATTGAGAAGGCTGGATTTAGCAGTAGAATTTTGTGTACTCCTTCAATTCGCTGTGGCTACAAATGCCATAGGCATAGATATCAGGCAGATAATATCTGGAGTCTTAGCCATTTAATTTTTGATACAAGTTATGTTGATTTCTGCATAATGTTTTACTGAAGAAATTTAAATATTTATAAGAAGAACTAAAGAAAGCAAATATTTCTTATAGTTTTGGGACTATATTTCATAGGGGCCTTCTCAATGAGAAATGTAAATGGCACTCACTCCCCTAGTATAATGTGAAAGGATTACTAGAATCTTGTGTTAAGTATAAATACAACATGGCTTGTTTTAAAATGAATTTTCATAATGTTCTATACTATATGCATCATGAGTGCATCATAGCTAAAACAAATTATTGTATGTAGAGGACAAAAGAACCCTATGTGTAATGGCTTTAAAAATTGATCTCCGATGTGTCTTAATAGCCATTATACTTAAGCTCCAGAAACATTAAATGTCCTTTGTTTTATACCATTCAGTCACTATTCTACTTCCTCTATTTTGACATTGTTATTAAAAATAATATTACTGCAACAAAGAGCATGTAAAAGGAATTACTCCAAAATGTGACATTATATTTGGATTCCTGCTGGAAAGCATGTTGGCCAAAAACTTATTTATTTTGAACAGATATTAATATCTGTCTAATATTAATTCCTGATTTCTAATTACAGGAGCTATTAAAATATAGCAAAGACTGTGAAGGATCTGCTCAGTTAAAGGAGGCACTCGATGCAATGCTGGATTTACTGAAGTCAGTTAATGATTCTATGCATCAGATTGCAATAAATGGCTATATTGTAAGCATATTTTAATAATTGTTGGAATTTTAGGGGGTCAACATCTCGACATCCCTTTTCCCCTCCTAGGACCAATTGAGAAATAGCATATAAGAAGCAGATAAATGGAGATCAAAGTGTTGACATTACCACTGATAACACTAAGTAGAGAATAAGCTTCAGATCAGCAGCCAAATGGATTTATGAGATTCCCCTTGTCCCCAACAGTCTTCCCCCAGTCCCAGACCTGAGAGATCCTGCTTAAGGAATGTTTGAGTCAGCTAAGAAAATGTATTGTTCCGTAATTGCTGCTTGCCACTGTAGATAGGGATAGATAGGGAAGAAAAGAATCAAATTTTTAGCACTTGTGTAGCCTTTTAACAGGTTAACTCCGCCCAGTGGGAAAACTTGAACTGGTATATGTCATGTGTCAAACAGGATTGAGGAAGAGATGGGGAGACTTACCGTAGCTGAAATACCTCCACATGATAGGAAGCCAGAGAAAAGGAATTTTCTTTTATCCTCCACTCCCACAGTAATTTTGTACTTATGTAGTGCATGCCATGTTTAAACATACAAAGTTAAGTTTGTAAAAAAACATAAATTATGCTTCAGGGTTTTAGTAGCTCAAGCTAAACACTAAAATGTTGATGTCAGACAGGTGAAGGTAGTTTTGCTTTCTACTGATGGTTTTTGATTTTCCATTCTAGGGAAACTTAAATGAACTCGGCAAGATGATAATGCAAGGTGGATTTAGTGTTTGGATAGGACATAAGAAAGGTGCTACGAAAATGAAGGATTTGGCTAGATTCAAACCAATGCAGCGACACCTTTTCTTGTATGAAAAAGCCATTGTGTTTTGTAAAAGGCGTGTTGAAAGTGGAGAAGGCTCTGATAGATACCCATCATACAGTTTTAAACACTGTTGGAAAGTAAGACAATTTGTATTGGATAATGTAGTATTGTTTCCTCTGCGCGCGCGTGTGTGTGTGTGCGTATGTACCCCAGTTTGAAAACTTTTCTGTTTCAGATGAGTGACTTTTATACTTTAGCTGCACATTTCTTTGTTTTTTTTAAAAAATTCTTAACTCTTATGTAGAAGTCAGGTGAATCATAACTTCTCTGCTTGAAGTAAAGGTGAGGGAATGCAGAGCTTTAATTCCTCCCTTTCTTCTCACTGCAATCCTAGATATTCCCCAAGGGGGCTCCCTAGCATCCTGAATAGCACAGTTTGAAATTATAAGGAGCGTCCCAGCCTCCCCATGAGCACTCTCTTTCCAGTGACACTGGGCAGAATACTTGATCTTGTTATAAAGGAGTCTTATGCCACAGGAGAGATAGGGAAGAAAGTTTCCTCCTTTTCCTCAATGCAATTTAAAAATGGATGACATTTGTGCTTAGCATGTCCCCACCTTCCTTTCTTTGTTCCTCCTCCATTTCCTAGCTTCACCCTTCCTGGGTGTTCAAAGCCATCTATAGCTGAATCCTTTCCAAATCTGTTCTTTTCCATCTTTCAAAAGTACTTTATTCTCTCCTATAAATAAAACTGCCATTTTGTCCTAATATTAGTTTATTAGTTTGTTATTAAAATGAGAACAGTACTGTTTGGGGAAGTTATTAACAACCCAGTGATGCTTCCAGCTGGTTTCTCCATTAGAGAAGAGGAACTTCCAATTCACATGAGACCCATAATTGACAAATTTGAATATTTTTTACATCTAATGATTTTCATCCTTTGAATTTTGAATTCTAAAACCAATATAACATTTCTCATAGAAAATATCAAAAATAGAGATAATTATTGTCCTTAATTCTCCAACCACTATCATGTTAGTCACTTTTCATGAGCGTGTTCTTTCATAGTTGTCATCACCAGTATATTTGATAATTGAAATTTTCAGCAGCAGTCATAAAGAAGACAGGCAATATGTTTTGAGACCTGAGTGAGGTGTTTGTATTAGGAGACTACCTATAAGTAGGCCCTGCTTTTGATTCTTCCCATAGGATCAGCAGTCCCTAGCTGTTCCTAACAAGGTTCCTGCCCAGGGTCAGGTAAAAAATAAGTAGTTTTTCCTATAGACTATTTTCCCTCCTTCACGCTGAACACACCACAGCTTCTTTAAAGCTCTGTCGTTTTCATCAGAAAGTTCCAGTTCCTCCTTTGATTTTAGCAGTCCACTTCTAAGCCCTCAAATCTCAAAGGGCCTTCTGAGTCATTAATAAACATTGACTGAGAACCATAAACTTGTAATCTGTGACAGAGAGGGTTCAAATCTCTTGCTGTCTGTATACTTATTCTTTTGGAAGGTACTTTACCTTCATAGGTATATTTGACCCAAATCCATTTGATGTCCATTTTATTGTGAGGTGATCTAATTTCTACCTACTATAGTATTTCTAGTTCATATTAATTTTCTGTTTACCCTTAATTTGTCACAATGATGGACATGCCAACAACATGTTTCTTGAGTACATTAAAGCAAAGAAGGGATTAGGTGATTAAGTCATGAGAACTGAAACTACAATAGGTACCATGGAAACAGAGAAGGTGGGTTAGATGCTAGAAACATTTCAATAGAAGGTAGACAGATGGGCTTGCTAACTTACTAGCTACAAAAAATAAATACCTGACATTGAAGGAAGAAAATCTTTCTGATTCTTCTTTGGCTCCCCAGCAATGCCGAATATCCTTAATAAAAAAATTAGCCAGTAATGCCTGCAAGGCTTTAGACCAGGATTCCTGGGAAAATGGTGATACCACTGAAAATTAGGATGTTTCTTAGGGTTCACTGTGTTCACTTCTGCTTGTCTGCTTATCGTGAGATTCCAGCATTTAGCAATTGCTAGCATTCTCAGTCATTGTGTTACTTAACAATTTATGCTATTGGTTTCAAAGTCTTATCTTTTGTAGAGAAAATCATTGCAGATACTCAACTGCTGAACCTTCTCTCTTACATTTTTTAACTTTTCTTTTATATTCAGGGGGTACATGTGCAGGTTTGTTACCTGGGTGTATTGAATGATGTTGAGGTTTGGGGTACAAATATCCCATCACCCAGGTACTGAGCATTGTACCCAAGAGTTAGTTTTCCAACACTATCCTTCTCCCTCCACTCCTCCTCTAGTAGTCCCAAGTGTCTGTTGTTGCCATCTTTATGTCTATGTCTCTCTCACTTTAAATGAACTCTTGTTTTGACTGTACCATACAAAATTGGAATCCCATGGCCTGACCATGTAGTTTCTAATGATTTATGTGTTATGTTTTAAGTTGGCCACTTATATCCAAGGAAGGGCCCTATCTAAAGTCACAGTTGACCACATGAGGAGATTTGAGTCCTTCAGATTCCTTAGTTCATGTATTTATTATTATCAATTTTTAAAAATTTAACAAACATGCACATAGTCCTTACTATGTGCCACACATAATGGTTACATTTCCAAGGCAGCTCAGAAAAGTTCACTTAGTCAGTAATGATGTACTATATGTTTACAATAAAAAATAACAAATGATTGCAATTTAAATAAGGGAAAGATTAGAAAGCAAACTCGTACTTTAAAAAGCTCATTATAGGATCTAAGCATTTACTCCAGGCTATTTAGTCCTTACATCAACCCTATGAAATAGGTGTTCTTTCCATTTTATAGTTGAGGAAACTGAAGTTTAGAAAAGTTAAGCAACTTGAACTAAGACACATAGCTAGTGAGTGGTAGAGATGTATTCCAACCCAGACCTCTCTGATGCCAAAGCCTGTGTGCCTTCCAGCTTATCATGTTAAGACAAAAGCACGTAATGAAACAAAGTTAATTTTTAAAAATATTGAATATGAGATTTCTATTCTTTTTTTTTCTTTTTTTTTTTTTTTTGTTTTGTTTTTTTTGAGACGGAGTTTCGCTCTTGTTACCCAGGCTGGAGTGCAATGGCGCGATCTTGGCTCACTGCAACCTCCGCCTCCTGGGTTCAGGCAATTCTCCTGCCTCAGCCTCCTGAGTAGCTGGGATTACAGGCACGCACCACCATGCCCAGCTAATTTTTTGTATTTTTAGTAGAGACGGGGTTTCACCGTGTTGACCAGGATGGTCTCGATCTCTTGACCTCGTGATCCACCCGCCTCGGCCTCCCAAAGTGCTGGGATTACAGGCTTGAGCCACCGCGCCCGGCCCTATTTCTATTCATTTTAAATTGTGATATTCAAGCAGACGTAGGTTAGTTGGAATGGTGGAGTGAGAATATAAAGATAGTTTGGGACATTCTGAAAATAACTTCTGACTACATTCAGGGTGGATGTCAAAGGTTCTTTCATTAATATGTTGCATTAAATTTTTAAGCATAAGTGGTTTTCTTCCCCTTGGTATAGCAATCTCACTAGCACTGCCTTATAATGCTTATCAATTCTAATTAGGGCCATCTGGGGGGGCGCTCATAACTAGAACAGAGAGTGAGATATCCCTTTAGATTATTAGGTAAGAACTGAAATAAAAGAGGAAAGGCAGAAAGGAATTAAAAGAATATTTGTGCAGGGGACTGGGATTGCTCAAAGTGCAATTAGCCAAGCTATTAGCAGAAAACTATGAAAGAAAATGGAAGAGTTTATGGTTTGCACAATCATGTTGAGAAGAAGAAAAAACTGTGGTAAGGGAGAGATATTGTGTACAAAAGTTTCACTGGATACAAAAAAGACAACAATGTCCCATGACATATTATTTGTTTTTTAGAAAGGCCAAGGGATTGGTAGAAAATAGGGAGATCCTCGTGTACCTGACTGGTTCTCTCCTGTCCAGTAAATTATATGATTATAATTTGTAGGGCTTCTATCAAAATAAATTATAATTTGTAAGATTAAATGATTGTCAAATAATCATTATAAATAATTATTTAAATTAATTTTCAGTGGCTTTTTTCTATTGATGTTTAATTACTTCTGTATTTGACCCAATAATTTGTTTTAATAGTGTACTATTAATTTATAACATAATTAAATCTTAGATGGGCTACTTGGATTTTCAGATTTATAAAATTTGTTTCAGCCACTGACATGAAACATGCAGTCTGAACGATAAAGTGCATAGTTCAATGAAAACATTTAAATACTCATCTATGATTGTAATTATCATTTCATATTCATTTAATATAACATATATTTTTCTACCCAAGACAAATACTGTTTTATTTAGAATATGATAGGGTAGATTTAATGTAACTTCATATTTAAAATAAAATGCTCATAAAAATTTTGACTTATTTATTGTAGATGGATGAAGTTGGAATCACTGAATATGTAAAAGGTGATAACCGCAAGTTTGAAATCTGGTATGGTGAAAAGGAAGAAGTTTATATTGTCCAGGTTGGTCATTTAAAAATTCTTCTAGAAGCCAAGACCTGCATTGAAATACAAAAGCCCAAATTTATAAACAAAAATAATTTTGGTCACATTTCAAAAGTTCCATTCCTTTCATGTAGGTCAGTTAAATATTATTTGAATATTCTTTGTGATGTATTTAACTTTTTTCTAGTAGCTACACTGAGATATGCCTATGGTGTTCTCTAGGGCTTTAAGTTTTCACAATTACATAAGAGGCTTATCAACTAGAACTGACAGCTTGGCAGGTACTTCTCTGTTCCCGTCAAGTTTCCAATTTACAAAATTATAATAGTTCTGAGTTCCTTTTGTGCTAAACATTCTGGGGTACCTGATTAGAAGACACGAGGATGTGACAGTTGAGACTTGCTTTCTGCTTCTAAAGAGCATGGTTAAAGCCCTGGCCAGTTGTGCTATAGAGTCCAAACTGTTTCAGGGAAGGGGAGAGGAACCAGAGCATTTCAAGAGGACGTTGTCATTTCAATAAATATTTGTATCATGACTTGTCAATGTGCTGTTATCTGTTAATAATGCTCAGTGTTTTTTGTTTGTTGAAATTCTGTACTAGGTGACTATAATTTATAAAAATATGTTTTCTTGGTTTGTTTAAGATATAGTATTTGATATCATTTAACAAACATCTTATAAGTAATGGGAGGATATTTAAGGAGGCTTTCATGTTACCATCAGTCACCAAGATTATTCTGCAACAGATGGCCTTTTCAGAAATAGTAGAGCTTGTTTTATTTTACTAAAATTAAACATCAAAATATTTATATTTTTAAAAGAATTCTCCTGTAAAGACAAAATAAGTGAAATTATATTTCATATTTGCATCCAAGCATTCTTACACCATTATTTAAGGGCAATTTCAAAATAGGTATGTTTTCTGAGACAGGGTCTCACCCTGTTGTGCAGGCTGGAGCGCAGTGGTATGATCTCGGCTCACTTCAACCTCTGCCTCCCAGGCTCAAGAGATGCTCCCACCTCAGCCTCCCAAGTAGTTGGGACTATAGGCACATGCCGCCACACCTGGATAATTTTGGTATTTTTTTTTTTTTGTAGAAATGGGGTTTCTCTATGTTGCCCAGGCTGGTCTCAAACTCCTGGGCTCAAGAGATCTGCCCATCTTGGCCTCCCAAAGTCCTGGGATTACAGCAAAAATTGTTTTGATTGAATTATTTCATCTAATCTGATAGCAATTTATTTGCTTCATAAAAAATTTAAGAATCAAATGGTTAAGATTTGATTATGGTGTTATAGGAAGTAGATAATATTTTATGTAAATAATTAACATTTGTTTTATTATAGAACATTCTTTGTAAAAGGAAACGTGTACCACCACCTCTTTTTTTTTTTTTTTTTTTTTTTTTTTTTTTGGAAATCTTTAGGCTCCTAATGTAGATGTGAAGACGACATGGTTAAAAGAAATAAGAAATATTTTGTTGAAGCAGCAGGAACTTTTGACAGGTAAATTAAAGCATGCGTTCTTCAGAACAAAAAAATATAGTAATAACTTATTGACTCAGATTTTGTAATTCTTTTTGCAGGGAATGGGGCTGATATTTACACTATTACAATGAAAAGATTTGTTAATTAGTAGAAGATCGAGATTCAGAGGGTTGTTTAAACTATTTCGAAGAATGAACTTTACACTAGAAAATCAACCCTTGTGCTTAAGTAGTTGAGAAGCAACACAGTGAACTGATTGTGGTAATTCCCAGTCCTTTCCATGAGGTGACTCTGCTTAGTATCTCGAGTAATCATTGCTCAATAATGTTGGAATGGGAGACAGTTCTACTTCTAAAGTTGGGCTTCTTGAATAAAATATTACATGGTTCAGACTTTTCCAAATTCAAGCTCGAGACTTCCTTCCCTCTGATTATTTCAAGTCTGCGAAGGTTAAGTCTAATGGCAAGGGTGTGTGTGTGTGTGTGTGTGAAAGTCATTGGCCTTTAAGGAAGTAAGAAGTGTGACTTCTGAATGATGATAATACACTTTGTTTTTTTTCTCAGTTAAAAAAAGAAAGCAACAGGATCAATTAGCAGAACAGGATAAGATTCAGATTTCTCTTCAGCAGAATGATGAGTAAGTGATTGTTCTTTAAGAAATATCACTCCTGCAATCTTTTGTTTTCCATATGTAACATGAAGCAACGTAGTTACGGTATCTCAGACAAAAACCAACCACCAATTTAGCAGTAACTCATCAAATTCCATAAACACATCATTTTCTCAGGTGCAGCCTTATATTGGAGGCTGGTAGTTCTTAACAGTTATCCCTTGGGTTGATTTTTAAATGTGATGACAAATGTTTTATTTTTAATATATCATTGGAAGAATTACACATAGGCTGACAGGAAAGAAGGCTGTGCTCATAGGCTTTTTTTTTTCCAAAGTATTTTTGGTCACCTTTGATCTGATTGGAAAAAGAGGGTTATAAGAATATGGGAACAGAGCAAATGAAGGACTGGCTCACAGTTTTATAGTCCCTTGATGGAGACCGCTAGCTGGTGATTTGGCCTCTCTGTCTACATAGAGAGAAGGTATGGATTCTGGGAGGGAACTGAGCCTGGACACAACCAGGAGGCATTAAGGAAGCTGGCTGTCCTATATGCCCGCACATTGATATGGGTTTAGAGATGTAGTCATTGTGTTCTCCCTCCAGAAATTCCAAAAAGTGGAGTTTTCACTGAACATTTAAATATATGCAGAAACAATTCTCTTATTGATTCAGAAGGTCAGGTACAGAGATTCACCATGCAGCATCTGCATGGTGTGGTGATCATTGAATGACTTATTAGAAATACTATTTTTTCCTTTGCTGCATGTCATCTTTCTGAGGTAGCTAAAATCAGATGAAATGTGGTGGTGGTTCACATGGAGATTTAGGAGAACTATTTAAAAGTCACAGAGAAAGTCTTTATCTTTCAGAGTTCAAAAAACTCAGTCTTTTTTTTTTTTTTTTTTTTTTTTTTTTTGAGATGGAGTCTTGCTCTGTCGCCAGGCTGGAGTGCAGTGGTGTGATAGCTCCCTGCAACCTCTGCCTCCGGGTTCAATCAATTCTCTGCCTTAGCCTCCTGAGTAGCTGGGATTACAGGCACCTGTCACTACACCTGGCTAATTTTTTTGGTAATTTTAGTAGAGAGGGGTTTCACGATCTTGGCTAGGCTGGTCTTGAACTGCTGACCTCATGATGCTGGGATTACAGGCATCAGCCACTGCACACGGCCAAAAACTCAATCTTTTATCATACATTATAAAAGTAAGATCTTTAGATTTTATGTAGTAATTGATTCAGTAGTAGCTGGTACATAAGAATATGAATCAGTTGAAAGTTTCATTTTCATTTATATACAACTTACCTAATTCATTAATGTTACAAGTCCACAGAGCAACAGGGATTGTATACAATACCCCAACCTTAGGTCTAGAAGGGAATAGTTTTTCTCCTTACATAATAGAGAAGCTGCTGGCTTGGGTCTGAGATTTAAGCATTTGTATATTGTAACCTATTGTCACACAGATTTAAATAGGGAGTGTTGGCTGTTTGGATGGATTCTCAGCATGTTCTTAACACTTGGGGTCAATGGAAGAAGTACCACTTTAAATTTCTTTTTACTTTTAGACTGTACAAAAGCTCACTTAGTTTTATACATCACTATTTCAGAAAGCAACAGGGAGCTTTTATAAGTATTGAGAAAACTGAATTGGAACACCCCAACACTGTGGTGGAGGTCTGTGAGGCAATTGTGTCAGTTCAGGCAGAAGCAAATACAGGTATGTGTCATGGTCATCCTAAGACAAGATTTGTGGCTATGCAAATTTCTATCTTCCACTGTTAATTTGGAAATCTATCCATCTGGTATTTTTGTATAAACAAAATACAGTTAACCAGTTTTTATAAGGCTCTCATGTCTTACATATGCAAGACACTCCGATGGGCACTGGAGAGTATTGGTTGTCAAAGTGTGGTCCCTGGACCAGTAGCATCTGCATCACCTGGAAACTTTTACAGAAGACAGATACTCTTGCTCCACCCAGACTTTGTGGATCAGAAACTCTAGGAGCAAGGACTAGCCACTTGAGTTTTAACAGGGACTCTCTGTGATTCTGATGCGTGTTCAAGTTTGGGAACCCCTGCTATAAAGGCTATAGTGATAAATAAAACACATATACTGGCTTCAAGGAATGTGTATTTCACTTACCCTTGGTTTAATGAATAGAGAAGAGTCATTAACAGCTGGAATATTTATTCTTCCTCTGCGAATGGTTTTATTTGAAGTGATTTTAAATACTTTATTTAATTCAACAAATATTGACATAGCATGATCTGCATTCCAGGAGTTATGCAAAGTGCTAGGCATATAGTCTAATTAGGACACACTCAGCTGCCATCCTTATGAAGCTAGGAGAATAGAAAGGTAGTTAAACAAGCAATTAAAAGTAAATTTGGTGAGTGTTACAGCAGGGAAGTACAAAGTGCTATAGAAGCACGCATGAGGATCACCTAAACAACTCTAGAATCAACAGCACAGACTTCTTTGGAGAAATGCCTAACAGAGTGTCTGATACTCAATACTTTAATATGATGATCCTTAATATGGAAGAGTTCTCTACTGGTTGAGGAGGAAAAGGTAATGATAGCCTTGTTGAGTTTCCAGTTATCCATTTAAAGGTCACTACCCTCAGGTCATCTATGCTGTGGCCCCCAAAGAAGTAAGGAGAGAGCTGAGTACTAATTCCTTCCTTTGACAGGTGAGGAAACGAAGTTAGAAAAAGTTGACAATAACTTTTCCAAGGTTGCATGAATACTTTAATGTGGCCAGGATGAGATTCTGTTAATTTGCTTCTTCATTAGAGTAGTTAATCCAATTTTTAAAAATTCAACGTTTTAAAGCATTTCAGCTAGTTTTACTTCTCACCTTGTGGTAAATTAGCACCATCAAGTAACTGGCACATTCCACACTTTTCTTATAGTTTGGACTGAGGTGTCACAATCTGCAGAAATCTCTGAAGAGCCTGAGGAATGGTCAAGCAACTATTTCCACTCTACTTATGGTGAAAATGAAGAAGAAGATAGGCCCCTCATGGTTAGTAATAATATATTAAATTAAAATTCTTGAGGGAGTTTTACTGACAAAATCTAGGTGGAGCACATAGGGACAATCTTTTGTCAGCATCCTTGAGGCCATTAGGAGTATGCCATGGCCAAAATAGTTGAAATGACTCTTATTATGAACATCAGGAAGCACTTTTCTCTTTAAGTAGAACCCATTTGACCTACACATAGAGCTTCTACTGAAGTTGATGAAACAAATAGTCAATCTTTCAAAATCTCTCTAAATTGACCAGTTTTATCTTTACTAGAACTCCACCACTGTGTTTTCCATCCAGGTATGTGAAATAAAATCAGAGAACAAAAGGAGCTTAAAATTTACTTAAAAACCAGTTTGGATTCCAGATTTAAAAATATAGGGTATAAGCATTACACATTAAAAATTATTTAATAACTTCTGGGGGATATATTTTAGTGTGTTCTCAAAAATGCACTACTGATATAAAATCTCAGCGCATTAGAGCAAGGGAGCACCCTGTAAAATTAAAGGAGGTTGCTTTAGGGTCAAACTGCTTATAGAAGGCATAATTTGCAAATTGGTAGGATACTGGTGGGTTATTAAAGAGGAGGTAGGACTGTTTGGGGGTAAATCCTTATTTTTCTAAAGTCACCAACTTAGAGGGTAGGAGTGATGCTTGGAGGTAGAGTGCTCCTTGGTGCCCTTCAGAGAAACCAATTCCATTTGGCAGTTCTACTGTTAGTATAAGAGGGTAATGGCATGGGTAATCACAAAGCTGTACAGCATTGACTCTGAAATACAGTCTTTAAAAAAGTAGATATTGTTTATATTAATAATATGATGACCATAATACATATTTGTATGATAGCTTACAGTTTCCCAAATGATTTCTCAATTAATATTCACAGTATTAGTATGAAAAAGAGCAGGCTTTATTACCTTTAATTTAAAGAGGAGGAAACTGATGCTTAAAGCTGGTAAGAGATTTGTCCAGTTAATTATCTATACCTGCAGTTCTCATTTTAATGAAGGCAGCCTTAAAAATTGAGAAACCCAAAGAACTCTTGTTTGTGTAGGTTATATCTGTTTAAAAAAATGATTTCAACTTTTATTTTAGATCCAGGAGGTACATGTGTAAGGTTTTGTTACATGGGAATACTGCATGATGCTGAGATTTGGAGTATAAATGGTCTTGTCACCCAGGTAGTGAGCATAGTAATCAACAGGCAGTTTTTCTGTCCTTCTGCCAACTGTCTTTCCTCCTTCTAGTAGTCCCCAGTGTTTACTGTTCCCATCTTTGTGTTCACGTGTACCCGATGCTTAGCTCCCACTTATAAGTGAAAACACGTGGTATTTGGTTTTCTGTTCCTGTTTTAATCTGTTTAGGATAATGGTTTCCAGCTGCATCTATGTTGCTGCAAAGGACATGATTTCATTTGTTTTTACGGCTTCAGAGTATTCCATGCTGTATAGGTTACATCTATAGATATTTATTATGTGATAAATTAAAACTAAGAAATAAAATTTTAATTTAATCGCTATTTAAAAATATTAATAAACCCATTGTAAGTTTATATAAATAACATTTTTATTAAAATGTTACATTTTTCAAAATAAAACTCAGTGAGAAGACTGATTTAAATACTTAAATACTTACAAAATAAATACTTCTGTAAATCACTTTAACTTCTGGCGCAGTAAAAGGTGAATTCTCATGTCCGTGTTTGCATTCAATTTGTTGTGCAACCACACACCTAGTATCTTCTAGAAAAGTCCACCATGTACTTGTGAGAGGATGGGAGTGAAAAAGGCAAATAGTGTCTCAATGTAGGTTGACCTTGCAGACTCTGTGAAAGGGTCTCAGGAACCCACAACCCTTTGTCTCCCACACTTTGGGAATCTCAGGCTTAGACTAATAGCAAAAATAAGTTCAATTTCTTTAATTAATGTTAGCTGAGGATGGAATGGATAGGAATAGTTGTTAAATATGAGCAAAAAGTCAGAGGAAGCCAGTTCGTGTTTAACCATTTGCTGCAGATGATCTATGAAGGTATTGTCAAGAACTCAGATTTAAGTAAGCATTTCTTTCTAGCTATGGTATCAGAAGATTAAATACACAAAATTGAAGAATGCTTTAATCACAGAGGATGGGAATATAGAAAAACCTATTAGTTTTTCTCTCTTTGTCCAATAATTCTCTGAGTTGTGCTACTAAAGAAAACATACAAAAGAGCAATACAATGTATTCCATACACCTTTCCTGCCTGCCAAAAAAAGAAGTTGAAATGAGCTGCTCTTTTGGCCTCACTTTATCAAGTAGTAAATGGAGCAATAATGGGTGCTGCTTCCCTTGCAGAGACCCGTGTCAGAGATGGCTCTCCTATTTTGATGAAGCTACTATGTCAAATGGTAAATAGCTCTTTCCTGCTTGCTTCTCAGCTCATTTGGAAAAATACTGCTCAAAAGACGTTCAATTCAAATGATGTAGATGTTGTTTTCAAGTTAATGGACATGCAAAGAATCCACAGCACATACTTCTTTTCTTTCATTTTGTAAAGCTTTTAATTATGGTACGCTCTCTTTTTAAAATCATGTATTTAATGTGTCAGATATTGTGCTGGAAAGATTCTCATCTCAGAATACTTTGGGACTTGAAAATTATTTCTTCTCTACTTTGTAACCAAATGCAATCAGTGTGCCTTGGATTATTTCATTTGTTAATGAATTAAGTTAAAATTACTGCTGCAAAATGGCTAAGGTCAAGTAAAGCACAACATTATGATTTAATAGGCTTTTGTTAGACCCACAGCTTTTGTGCCCATTATTTTAATCTGTGTGAAAGAAAACAAAGCCCAACAATTCTTTCTGGGGCATGAGTAAATTTTGTTCAGGGCGACTGTCTGTATGTGCCCAGATAAATTTTCATGAGAGTAGTTTACAAATAGCTGTATTTACAAGTTAATCTTTTCATGCTGATTTTTTTCTGTATTTCTGCTTATAATTAATGTAACTTAAATTAGTTATGCTCTGCTATTTTCTGTATATGTCGTTGTAATTCTTTTTTTCAAATAAAAATTAATTATTCAGGTTAAATAAACTTAAGTTCTGCCTTTTCTTTTCCCCCTCACAAACTGCTCCATGTCTGTCTATTGCTGCAAAGCTGCTGAAGCTACCACATTTACCAGAGAACTGAAAAGTAAATTCTTCATGTCGCAGAACAGGCAGTTATGCCAGTGGTTTTGCAATCAAGTTTGTAATATAATTTTTTAAGACAACTTTACGGTCTCCAGGGAAATATAGAGCCCTGGCAGACTGTAGGAAGAGAGGCTCAGAAGACCTGATTAGAAATGGAGATGTCATTCAGCTTCTCCATGGGGATGCTGAAGGTCAGTGGTAGGTGTGTTTGCAAAGCCTGTGATGATCTCCAGCTGGGGCACATAGATAGCTACTCAAATGTTCTGCTTTATCTGTATCGTTGTTATACAGTCTCCAAAACCAGAAATATCACAGCAATGGCTTTCATTTTCATTGCTTCAGCAGTGCCTATAAAGCTCACCGAAAGGAACATTAACCTTTGGTGAGAGAAAGATGCTTTAAAAAAATGACATGCTATGAATTTGCATGTTCTTTGTAGTTTAACTTTGGCTCAGGTGTTTTAGCCATTACATCTGGGCTTTGTAATGGCTACAGATCACATTCTATCTGATCATTTAAGTCATTCATTAACCACGTATTTAATGAATGCCTACTGCGTTCCACAGACCACACTTTACTACTTTACAACATAGCCACACTTCTATTTATCAGTTCAAATATTGACTTTTTAATCTTATCATTTTACCCTTAAGCCTTTGACTTTATATAGTACTGATTGTAACGATGGTTCTGCCAAATATACTGTTTAGCTGGGAGAGAAACTAAAGCAGGAAGAATATATTGTTTGGATTAAATGAAACTTCCATAATTCTTTTAGAAATTTTAAATGTAATGGTTCTGTCTTCATTGGGTCAATAACTTGAACTGAAATGCTGCATTGACTGTGTACTCTAACCCTAAAGGTGGAAGAGTGTACACATAGAAAAAGTTAATGATGGATCATTAAAGTAATAATTTTTTCTAATAATGAAAGTCCTTGGTAGGTCACTTAAAGGACTCAAGCACAGTGTCATGAAGGTCTTTGAATACATGCAAAAGCTTTGTGAAAGTTTGAGCTGCAACATAATGTATTTGTTTTGATTCACTTAGTATCACCACTGTTGGCAACTAATTCATTTATTATTTAGTTTGGTGAGAAATCTAATGGAGGAAAAGAAGGCCTGATTCCAGGAAACAGTTTAGATATTTTAATTGGTGACAATAGGTTTTGGAATGTGAAAGTTACAGTTATAATATGAATTAACTGTACGCAATTTGAAGACTAAAAATGTTAAAGCTTCACCAAAGATGACATTGGCGGAGAGTAATGACCTCCCTGCAGTTAGAAATAAAGCAGAAAACACATTATGTTAGCTAGGATTTATTTTTTTTCTTCAATAGTTTTAAATTTATGAATGAAATATTTAAAGGCACATTAAATCTTTCCCAATAAGGTTGATAGTCTTGAAAGAGATTTAAGATACTATGGTGTTTTGTAAGATACCCTTCAGAATTAAATACTGAGGATATGCTTTTAAAGTACCTGCCTTACCGTCCAAGAATGCTTTACTAGAGTGTGGTTCTACACTGTCCTAGGAGCATCTTATTTCTTTATGGTAGGTCTCTGCTACACACATGCAGACGCACATACACAAACACACCTGTGTCTATACCCAAGACTTATGTGTGAAGGTAGTATGAAGCATTAGGAGCTATGTTCATTTCTATTAACTTAACCCTTGGTATGCAACATTTCTGTATATAAATCTGTTAACTTGTGGCTTTTTCCTCTAAGTTATACTTAGCTATCTGTAAAAAGGTAGCACAGAAAAGGAAAATCAATTAATTGTTAGATAAGATGGTTATTGCATCCATATAATTCCTCTGAAATCTTAGTTTTGGTCTTTTGTTTGTTTGAATTCCAGGTAATGATACACTGTTTAAACACACTAGGTGTAGCTTATTTGGTTCCAAATTTTATTTATAACATACAATGGGCCAGGTGTGGTGGCTCACGCCTGTAATCCCAGCACTTTGGGAGGTTGAGATCGGTGGATCATGAGGTCAGGAGTTCAAAACCAGTCTGGCCATGATGGTGAAACCTCGTCTCTACTAAAAATACAAAAAAAATTAGCAGAGCGTGGTGGCAGGCACCTGTAATCCCAGTTACTTGGGAGGCTGAGGCAGAGAATTGCTTGAACCCGGGAGGCAGAGATGGTAGTAAGCAGTAGCCATAAAAGAAGGGTGTCAGATAAAAATGAAGAAACATTACACATGCTGAATTGAGCAGCTTACAACTTTAAAAAATTTATACATGTTTGAAAAGGATAAAATCTAAGTAACATTTTGAACACTTTCAAAAGAGAAATAGTTCTGATTAATCACATTTTCCCCCAAATTAACTGATCACGTTGAAGAATTGTTAAGTTTGAAAATAAATAAAGCCAGTTTTCTACCAACTATTTCATCCTTATTTAAATGGTTAATGAAGAGAGAGACAGAAACAGAGACACAGAGAGAATGGAAATAAGAAACATGGGTTACTTATAATTTGTGCTTGAAGAACTGTTTGAATCAAGACATATAAATCAGTGTTTTAGAAAATTGGTTTTTATGAAGCAATTTAAAAAACCCAGTAAGTAGATAAAATAATAACGTAATGTATATACTAGAAAAAAGCATTCCTTTTTGTGCTCAGATCTCCAAGATTCAAAAGTGAAAAAACAAAGTGTACTCATCTAACTTCCATATAAACATTTGTATTCAACATTGAGAAGACTCGAGTATATTTTCCATCACTTTTATCATCATCATTTTAAGTATAGAGCCAGATCTCCTCATATTTAATTCAGTACAAAGTCAATTACATTATTTTTTAGCTACTTGTGATGTAGGACATATAAAATTATATATTTGATTAGTTTAATTTGAAATTATTCTATTTCTGTTAACTAATCACAGTAGATATAGGGGATATTAGCACCCTTTGAAAAGTTTATGGAGAAACAACAATTTCAGTCTGCTTGAGTCTGTGCTTATTTTTCAGACAGTGAAGGACTTACTATACATTTATTAATGTCATACATTTTACTTGGGGGGAAAACTCACATTATTCCTTTCTAGCCACTTTATTTTGTACTGTGAGTTCACTTTAAAAAATACTCTTATTTTTTGCAGTGCTATTGGGAGAGTTTAAATTTAATGTATTGCTATATCATCAGCATTTTAAGCATTTATGATTGTGTGGCATGATACTAGATAAGAGGACAAGGTCCCATTGATCTGTGTTCTCTAGACTTAAGATATTATTTAAATATATTACTTCCAAATGACATGCATTTATGACTTATGCTGAAATGACAAATTAATACTTCACTGTAGATTCTGGTTGAATGCGCCAATATCAAGTGGTCTTGATTGAGATCTACCCGCTCATTACATTGCACAGAGGGAAATAGTATATTGTGGCTTATAAAAATGCATTGTGATGTGTGTTCATCAGTGGATTAGGAAATTATAACTGACTATCCAACTGTCAACAGCATTAGATTTAAAAATACGTTAGAGAGTTTCATTTACAATCTGGCAAATAGAATGTGAAGATCTCTCTGATATTATGCATTTAATATGTTTGCTACTATCTTCATGCATTTAGCATAATTTGTACAATGTTTATAAAAATCCATTGTAAAAGAAGAGACTCCTGTTTATTTTATTTTGCTTTCAGTGAAGCTATTTCTTTTATAAAATAGATGCATTTAGTAATTAGGAAACTGAATGATAACTTTCACATTAAAATTAATATCCAGAAGACATCAATTTGAATTTATGATGGATTTTTTTGAATCCTCACACTTAGCATTAGAAGTTATAGTACAGATAACATTTTGGCTTTAAAAGTCATTCGCATGTTAACATCATTCTTAATTATTTTGTAGATGCTGTTCTGAGTAATACAAAGAAACTGAGTTCCCCTTGAATTCAAGGAGATTGAATAGATTTCCTAAAAATAATATTTCCTTTGGGGTGTGAACTATATTATATTTTCTAAAAGTGTTACATATAAACAGCACCGTAGTCAGGTTATCCTACACTGCCCATGACATTCACAGAAATTACCTCAGCACTGAGGTGAACTTCGTCATTCACAGCTTCTCAGTCTTGCAAGAAGCATCTTCACATCTTCCATTATCGCCACGTGAAAGTGCAGTAATGGAAGATGTGCAATGGTAATGGTAATGGAAAAGTGCTATTTTGTTGCCAATTAAAGTTTTTTACAGCCTCTGTTCAGATTTCACCTGAAAATCTGAAATCAATTCTTTTGAACTTTTACAGATAAAGTTTCACTTGTATTTTTTGGGTAACTTTTCGGTAACAAGACTTCAAAGAGAGAAGAGAAAGAATCAGAGATTTTAAACTCCTTTTTGTTAATTGATAATTTATTTTATTAGTTAATTTTGTGCTATCTATGTGATTATAATGCACCAAAGAGTTACGTTCTGAAGAATCTCTTATGCATGGTGACTGACATTTAGGGTTGTCAGAGCTATTTTATAGTTTTATAATGATCCAAAGCTAAAAATCCTGTAGTTTAACTTTACATTGTTAAACTTTACATTTTATGCATTGAAGTTTAGGTACACATCACAGCTTTAAGTTAAATATTTGTATTTGCACCACAGATGTTTCTTAATAAAGCTCTGCTTTTCTGCATCTTTAGTTACTCTTCAATTCTCTGGAAAAATTTATACCTGAAAAGATTTTCTGAAGTTATATTTCTTCTTAATTTTTTAAAAATAATAATACATGTCTAGATATATCTCTTGAAAATATATAAACACTGTGATCACTTGTTTTGAAGCAAATGGCCAGTTGTTGCATGCAATGTTGAATTTATGCTTGGAGTATTTTATATTATGGACTACTGAAAGCAATGGTTTGAAATTCCTGCT